TAGTTTTAGATAGAACAAAATGAATTTTTGTTAATTATTCAATAACTATAAGAAATATACCCCACAAACTATATATATTTGTTATCAGAAGAAAATAACAAATTATTTTAAGCCATAGCCAACTATGATTTCCATTTAAAAAAATAAAGTTACGTCTAAAATCTCGAAAATAAAAGATGGGAAAAAAATTCTACCTACGCCACTGAATTCTTTGTAAAAAGTTGCCCATATAATGTTTTATTTATAATACTCCATCTTTGATAATAAGTGAGATATTCGCGATTGTCGTTTTCGACAATATTATACAATACTATCTCTTTTAGTTTCGGAGATAGCCTATGCGGACATCGAAATTGGGACACCTGTATACATGCCATTCCTTGTCTTTCTCCCTTGGTTTTGTAGATTTCGGCAGATATCCCATCTATATCAATCAATTTGTGAAATACGTTAACAATAATAAAAAGCTGTGCGGTAAATATGATTCAATTTAATATTACGGAAAGTTTTCTAACATAAAAGAAATACTTCTGTATTTGTTGATTGTAGCCGACGCAATTTTCAAACCTACTTTACAACAAATTTGGATTAAATACATGAAAACATAAACAATTACTGATATAGAAAGGTAATCTAAAGTTTATGTAGACGATAAAATCTTAAAAAAGAAAGATTCAAATATTTACATTTTAAACTATTTTGATTCACAAAAAAATCGGGATAAAAATTAAAAAAAAAATCGATTTATTATCGTATAATTTATTGATATATTCTTCTATATTATACATTTAGGAAGTTTTGGCTTCGTCGCCAAAAAAAAATAAAAATAAACAAAAAAAAATTGTAACAAAAGGTGAAAACAGCACAAAACGTTCTTATATCAACTAAGAAAAAATATATTTACACGAATATCAAACGTTTTGACCAATATAATCAATCTAAAAAAAAAAAGAGTCAAAAACGTTATAAACTAAAACGATTCGCTTAATTAATAATAAAACAAAGAAAAATTGAACAAAAAATCCACCGTTTCACATCCTTTTTTCTTTTAAATTTTCGGTGGTTGTTAGCACCTAGCATACACATATACCTTAAAAATTAGGTTTTTAATCTTTATTTACAATTATTATCGTTAGTTCCAAGTAGATAACAATGTCTGGTTCTTAATTGACACCTATTTTTTGAGGATGAAGGAACGAAAATCATCCTAAATTGATGATAAAAACCATCAATATTAAATCAACTTTTTTATTTGATTTGTATACAGCTTTTTAAAATCAAAATAACTCATTTATATATCTCAAGTTATAAGTTTAATTTTTTTTATTTCGTTTTAAATAAACAAACGATAAAGTCCTGTTCTTATCAATTAGATAAAGACCAATGGAAGGTTTTCATCGAAATCGCGATTACTTTATTTACATTATGAAACGTTATTTATTTCTTTTTGGGGTCTTTGTAATTAGTTAATTGTAAAAAAATTAAACTGGATTAAGTAGTGATAATAGATTAAAATAGATGGGGTTACGCCTCGGCTGCAAACGATCTTACCTTTGCCAACCGATCTCTTTACTGAATTCAACTAAGCCCGTTTCCGACCTCTCCTTAGTCGAGTACAATCCTTCATTCTTTCTTTTGAGTTTAGCCGAGGCCGCTTGAGGTCGAGGCGCTGTAGCATGTTTGCCAAATTTAGTTCGATTCGGTATTAATTGCAGAGTCTTTGATTTTGCCTCATTATAGTGGAATGGTATGATTTTAACCAATAAAGCCGAGACTATAATTACTACCATATCAAATAAAGTATATTTAACACATTTAAAATGAAGTAAGTGGATAGCATTACACTTTATTAAGCCAAGGTCGTTTGTGACTGAAACGCTTTTTTCATTAATACCATATTCACCTAAAGGTAATCGATACGTTATAACGTCGAAAATAGGGTTTGTTTTGAGTTTAGGTCAGCTTCGCTCGCGGCCTAGGGGCTGGTAATACAGAGTGTTAATTAATCATCGTAGCCGACGTCATCATTGCAAGTATGCAACCAATATCACAGTGCAATACGCATCATACGCAAATCGCGTATTGCAATACCAATACTGTGATATTAGTTACATACTTGCAATGATGACGTCGGGTATGATAATTAATTAATACATTGTAGAATGCCTCGATCGCAAGCGACCTTTGCGAAATAAGAGAAAATCTAGGATTCTGCTGGGTAAACTTAGTTAGAAAATGTTTTCCCATCTTTGCATATAAAATTTTGTATAACATGATAAATATTTACTAAATTTAATCATTAATCTTCACTATCATTTTGAAAGTCGTAGTTCATGACAACGTAATACACTATAAAGTATGATAAGATGTTATGATGACATCAAAGTGATAAGAAAACTATCAACAGAACCACATAAAAAGTTCTGTTGTTACAATATCAGTACTCATTGACTACATTCCCGGCAAATATACTTTTACAAATGAGAAGACAAATCTATAGCAGGTAGATGTATGAATGAGATAATATCTCCTGCTAAATTAATGTTGAATCATTTCCATCTTTTTGATAGAGACATTGTGCTAATCGAAGTGTTAATTTCTGTATATGTATATAATATAAATTATATGTATGTATAATTTCGCAAATTTTTGTAAAATTTATTTATTGTTCAATTCACAACCAAAGTGACTCGAAATTAATAACATTTCATAATTATTTTTAGTTATCCGATTTTTTTAACTAATAATGAAATTTATGGCACGATGTGGCAGTTTATACAATTACTAAAAATTAAAAAAAATAAAACCCGATTCTTATAAAAAACTTAATAATCATACTTGTCAAATGAAATTAAAATTACATTAATTGTGGCTGCAAATATAAAAAAACTGTATAAAAATCAAAAGCAATTTCACATTCTTTTGTTTCCACTTATTATTAAAGATTGACAAAAAAATCCCGTACCAACCATACGTATATTTTTAAGTGTTGTGGACAACCTGCGCGGATATATACTCTAATTTTTTTTTGTTTTAATAACAGTTTAGTAGAAACGCGCCCCTCTTTCTTTATCTTTTCGTCAGGTTACGGAAATCGAACTTTGGGACTTGATCCGATCTCCGTTTATTATTACAATTAGAAACAAAACTTATGAATTTGATAAAACAGTCACTCATCATCATCGTTATTAATTATTATTATTATTAATAATCGCGATAACCTCACACTCTATCTTATCGTTGTTGCTGCGGCTGCGCTTGTTGTTGCTGGTGGTACCTGGTCGCATCCGTTGCGATTGGAGGCACCACCACCGTCGGTGATGGACTACTTCCGCTACCGGCGCTCATTTTTGAGAACGCCAGTAGCGTATCGGGAAAATTTGGTGGGGTTGCAGGTGTGTTGCACGGCGTCATAACCTAAAATAATAAAAAACATTATCAATATTAAAATCATAAAATAATATAGTGAAGTTTAAAAACAATAATTGAATTAATCTTGAGATGACGTAGATAACGGGATCGAGTTACCAAAATTAACTCTTGGCATGGCGGATGTATCTGAATGCTTTCGGCGTCGACTTTGGATTATTTTTGTTTTGGCTTTCTGGCGGCAAGCATTCCCAGACTCTACGTCAACGTCACATGTATAAGCATTTCTAATCGCTTTTGTTACACACTGTACATTTTAATTAAAACAATAATCTAAGTATATACAGTGAGAATCAAAACTATTTATGAACACATACATATGTTATAATTTAATGAGAATTGAAAATAAATTTATTTATTCAAAAAAAAGTAAATAAATAAAATGGAGTTGATGTTTTGTCGAAGATTTTCTTCCTGGAATTCGAGATGTCCTCAGTCTGATTTCGCAACACGGTCGTGTATTTATTTTCGTTCGACGGACTGTTTGCGTGTGCTGCGACCATCCCAAGACACATACACAAATACCTACACACACCTAAGCAGAGACTTTGAAACCAGTTGTCCGTAAATACAGCACGTCTGTTTTGGAGCCATCACGTCTAAGAAAGTCACCTTATTAGTTTCTTTTTCAAGAGAATAAATTTAAAAAGCGTTGAAAAAAATTCATCGATTAAAAAATTCCAATTGATAATAAACGATATTTATAAGAATATAAATGTAAATATACTCCAAAAATAATACAAGTTATTTTTAATTTATGGTTTTGATTAAGAATCGTAATAAAAAATATTTATTAATAACGTAATCTCCAAAAATATCTTTGTTAAAGACAAAACATTAAAAAATAATTATAGTTTGTTTATATATCAAAGCCGAAAAGTTTATCTCTAAGTGGTAACTATCTTAAACATAAATTAAATACCGAATTTAGCTTGTGGAATCGAAGTAGTTCATCTTTTGAACAGATACGAGGCAATGCCTCAAAAGCTGATTATAATATTGCTATATCTATAGCTTCAATCTGGGCGTGTGTTAGCCAAGATATCGTTCTTTCCTATGTGATAAGATCAGTTGAAAATCGGTAACCTCTTACCAAATTTCTGTCTCAACGTGAATGAATCAGTTTGAGATCGATAAATATTACAAAGTCTTATAAGCCGGATGTTCTATATATTCTTGTCAAATACTTGAACTGTCGACTTAACCCAATGGTCAATTCAACAGGTCGTTGGCCTAATTTTGTAACATTTATTTCTTGCCGTGCACTGATTTTGAAAAATCACTGGTATGCAATATAAGGTATATCTCAGACAGAGTTCCAGTATTCAATGCAAGGTAATCCCCATAGAATTACCACTTTCGCCTTTCTTAGACACATAGTAACATAACAAAGACTCTGGTTCCAACATTTGTTACTTCCAACAACAATCCATAATAGCCTCTGAAATCGACCACAATGGAGCCGTTACCCTCAATCGAATAGAATCAATAAAAAATCAATAAACTATGTAAAAATAGGATTGGTAACATTTTCAGATCCTAAATTGTTTAATTCTTGCAATAGTTAATATTAAAATTCAAAATCCCCTCTATAAAACTTTGGTGACGTTTATGAACTTTTCGCGTAAGATCAAGAAGACGCAAATTGTTCGGATCTTTTCTTCTAGCGCATAAGATTCTCGTAGCATCTCGCTCATGCACCTTTTATTGATTTTTATTTCAACCAACCGCGTGCGACGGTGATGTCTCCAAAGTGTTTTCAAATTTTCATTTTTTTTTAAATTAAAGCCCAATAAAAAATTATGGAAGTCTTCAATTTTGCTAATCTATCGAATAAGCCAATAAAAAAAAATTTAACGGCCCCATTATGGCCATGTATAATTCGCACCGATCTCCATCAGATATTCTGTTCTAGTTAAAGTTGGAAAGGGGGTTGAACGAAGTCACAGTTCTTTATATACTTACTAGTTATGTAAAAAATTCATTAGCTTATTTATGTTAATTATATTTCTTTTGTGAAATTATTCTAAAGATTTAATTTTTAATCTGTTTATTTAACAGTAAACAAACGATTCAAATAATAAATTTTAACTTTTAATTCCATTGAATATATTTTCCACAAATGATTTGTGACTCATTCATTTAATACAAACACATTGAACGGGAAATATAAATCGTATGGATTTATAGAGGGGGCATTTGTCCCCCAACAAAAAAGAATAAACCAACAAAAATCATACGTATACGAGCTACTACAAGTTGTGGTGCCGTTATTGTGTTTTCTCGATTTATTAACGACGTTTTATTTTTTTGGGTCAACTTTAATCTTTTTCATCACGCATTTTATTTTTATTTTTTTTTAGTGGTTAATCAAATATTTAAACCAAAAAATACGCGTGGTATGACGTAAAACTCCCGTGCCAAACATTTGGAGGTGCGTTAGAACTTTGAAACGTTCTCGTAATAAAAGTGTTAAGTAAATCAACGAAAAACTCTTTTACGTCTAAATGTTATTAAGAAAATCTCGCACGTGGAATTTTTCAAACAAAAACACCTTGTCGTTAACTCAGTTGAGAAAAACGATCGCTTCAAAATAAACTTAGTTACGAAATAAAAAAAAATTAAGATAAAGTTTTTAAGATAACAAATTTAATAATTTATTTTTATTGATGTAGAATCGAGTGCGAAATCGGCCAACGAACTTTAAACGTTATACATAGTTTTTTTTAAATAGCTGACGTAATTTTTACGAAATGTCACGTGATACATTTTTTTTAAATTTTATTTATCTCGTGTATCAAATGTAACTTTGGGTCATAGAGTTTTATTTTAAATGGTAATTTGTAAGCGAGTCCTCGCATAAACGAACTAAATTCATAATGCATTAGAATCCAATAATAGTCGAGGTGTAGAGTTATAAGAAATATTGATTTAACCTTGACATTTTTAAATTACATTTCTTTCATAAACATTTCTTTTTAATTAATTGTGAAAAGTTCTAAGAAATTATATTTAGACTTTAAATTTCCATTTAAACAATCTAATTGTTTTGTGTACTTTCTTTTTTTTTTTTTGTTAACTTATTAAGATAATTATTTAATCGTGTTAAACTTTCTAAAAAACCTATGACGTTGCTTTGTTTTGTACGGTTGTTATTGTTGTTTTAAAACGATAAGTAACACAAAAGGGAGAAATCAGTGTTTGTATTATTTTTTATTCGGAGTAAATGTTCAACGAACCTTCCAGGATACGGGTGAACTCTTTAAAAGTTAATGTCGGCCGTAGTAAAAGAGAGGCCATTCCCTTTCTATGTCACGGTATCTGATCGCATTTATATACATTCGTTGTGCAATTTCCACTCTTAAAACTTAGTATATGAATGTCATCTATTTTTTTATTAATACTAAATCAGTGCCAGAGAGTTATTTGGAAATGCTATTATCATGCATTAAAAATTAAAAGCAACTGGACACTATTAAAATCGAAAGATATTAGAAGTAGTTGGTGGGTCACCGTTAGTTATTGGAAGCTATTCGTTGTCAGTGAGAAACATTGGAGCCATTAAGATCATAAGTTTTTCGATATTGCATAAACGTATGTCTTTGAAATATTGAAAATGAATAAATATAAACAGAACCTATTTAGAGTGCCAAAGAGATCCGGATTGATCTGGCCAGTTAGATAAGTGGATAAAAAAACTAATGTAAGTGATAAAGAGGAAAGAACTTCTCGCAGAATACCTTATAAAAGGGCAGCATACAAAATATTTACATACATGATTAACCAACGCTTACAACCTCTGGTAGAATATATAATTGGCGAGTATCAAACAGGATTCAGACGTGACAGGTTCAGTCATGATTCACGATGGATCACCTTTTTATAATAAAACAAATACAACGAAAAACATGGGATAAAAGCAACAATGCGAATCCAAAACTAACTAACAAATGTGTTTAATATCTCGAAAGGTTTGAAACAAGGGTTAAAACAATCTGGCTGACGTTAATATCATAAGCTTAAAACTGTATGCAAAACGTATCGGCCTGGAGAGTAACAAGAGTAAAAAAGGGGTGACGGAGACGTATTAGGAGACAATCCTCAATAGCAGAGTTAACTGTGGCGCATCGGTGACTATCTATCTCTTTAACCCTTTGTATCCCGGCGGTACTTTAAAGTACCGGTAGTTTTAAACACTCATTTTAAATTGTAGTCATCTATTCGGCGCATTTAGAACTATCGGTACTTTCTACTAAGTTTATACGAAAATATAAGTTTTATTGCAACCTTTTTTTTCTCAATATTTTTCCAATCCAACCCAACAATTATTATACATCATTTTAAAGAGAAAGCTTTGAGCTTTAATTTAGAACAAGTCTCATTCCTTAATTTCAATAAATACGTCTTCCAGGAATTTTTAAATTAGCATCTTTTTTGACACTTTTAGGTTATACGAAAATGTAAGTTTTATTTCAACATTTTTTTTCTCAATATTTTTCCAATCCAACCCAACAATTATTATACATCATTTTAAAGAGAAAGCTTTGAGCTTTAATTTAGAATAAGTCTCATTCCTTAATTTCAATAAATACTTCTTCCAGGAATTTTTAATGTAGCATCTTTTTTAACACTTTTAGGATATACGAAAATGTAAGTTTTATATCAATATTTTTTTCACAAACTTTCAAAATTTTTGACTTCTTGGGACACAAAGGGTTAACAATATAAGTTGTAGAGCCTCGGCCACAAATGACGTCGACTATTATCTCTTTAACTTAATTACTATCACTATAACGATCTATACTGTAATGTCTTGGCAACAAGCGACCTTGGCTATTATTTCTATGATGGAGTTGACGGCGGTACCTCAGTTACTATCTCTTTAATTGTTCAGATTGTAGCGCCTCGGCTATTATCTCTTTAACATGTTGAATTTGGAGGCAGAAAATAAAGGAGGCCAAGCTTAGTTTGGGTTGTAGCGCCGTATGAAAAAGATGAAGATAAAGAGTACGCTATAAGCTACTGAGAAAGAAAAGAAATTAAAATTAATAAATACACCATCTTATGAACCGTTACAAAGTGATTCGTCTTTTGATAGTAATCAAGTATTAGATTAGAAAATATTACAGCATTGGCAGATCTAAAGAGAACAAAAATGTTCGTTTGGATTTTAAAGATGTATTTAGAGACGTTGTTGATTTACAATCACAACTAAATTCGATTCCTCTTCAAGATATTAATGAAAATATATCTTAGTTTATTACTAGTATCAAAGAAGATGAATGGTTTAATCGTCTTTTGAATTCGAAATTTGTCTTAGTTGGTTATTTTGAAAATTTTAAAATATTCACAAACATTACAGTAATTTCTCTTTAAATACTTGGTATGTGTTAAAATACAATAAAAGAAAAAAAATATAAATGTAGAATAATAAGTTAATAGAACATATAAACTAAACAGACAAAGGTTGATTAAGATAAGAATTTCGATAAAACAACACGTTCAAACACAAAGAGGATGAATTATTGATATTATTTTTTGCGTGTATCCCGTTAAACATCGTCCCGATCAAAACGATGATAATTGTTTGTAAACATTGTGGGTACGCAATAATATAACAAGTAGAATGCGTGGGATTTTTATGGTATTTATAAGCAAAGTCCCTTTCTATCCTATCATCCTCTTTCCCTCTCACTACAAAAACAAACAGCCGCGTTTTTCAGAACTCATCATGACTATGAACACAATGATGATTCACTTTTTTACGAACAACAGTTATTCGTTTTAGGATTAAATTTATTAATGGGAAATTTATTTTTTCAATCAAATTCAACATTAATTTGATACATCATTTATATATGTATACAGGCCTATATATTGTTTTGTTTTTGTTATATATGTTGTTTTGTTTAACATTCGCAAAAGAATGGGAAAAACACTTCGAACAACTACATATTATTCAACGTTAGTACAGACGAAATGATTAAGAATGAATAAGAACCGCCTTCGGTGGGAGCTGTATGGATCAAGTAGCCCAGCGAACACTGATGCCATGTAGTAATGGTGCTGGTGTTAATTGCAGTAATTGCACCACAAGAAATGATCCTCATAGAATAGAAGAAGTTAATAGAAAGATTTTAGAGAAATGGTATTGCAAACTTGATCAGGAACTTCTTTTTAACACTTAACTCACGAAAGTACCCGTGTGCAACAAGCTTTCTGACAACAGCATCTCGTTCCTTCACATTCATACCAATAATTGAAGGCTTACTTTCTTTATCTGCCAAATTGCGTTTATTACTGTTAAAAAATAACCGAAGTGGTCATTTCGCGAGATCACGCATTAGGGTTCAATCACATGTAATCACACAGCCGCTTTTTGTGGTTGTTATGGAAATCTTGAGCTGCTTTTCTTGAGAAGAGGAAGAAGAAAGCCGCATGCCGGAAGGCAAGTCGGTAGTCATCATATTTTAGATATGATGACTATTGCTGCAGCAACGTCCGCTCTATGATCTTGTTCGTCTATCCACTTCTTATCACTTCACACACTTTTCTCGCTCTGTGTCTAATTAGATGCCACGTATTCTCAGACATCCAGTCTCGCTTACTTCACATGTTCATTGGGAATCATCTACTTTATGTATATTTTATGATCTTATTATTAGGTTAATTTGTAAAGACAAAGGTGCGTTTGAGAAAGTTTGCAGTGTGTTGAACCTTATTACATCTGTCACTAACAATTATATTTATGAAGCCTATCTGGGAAATATATCTGACAACATGTGTAAAGAGTCAAAAAAAACAGTTAATCGAGGAAGCTCTTGAAGAAAATTACAGCCCAAGGAACCTTGCAGTTTATGGTTCCTAGCAAAAGCACGATCATACTTAATTGGTCTATTTTTTTCTATTTTTGCAAGTTACACCCGAAAATTGGACTTAAAACTAAAACTTTATTCAAACTATGAATATGCTAGATGACAACTCACTGAAAAGATGAAATAGCTACATTTTTAGTATAAATGAGTAAATATACTTACCAATTAATACATTTAGAATATCAAAACCCTTCATATGCAAACATATTAAATCAGCAAAAATAATGAAAATCAACACTTAAGAAAATGTTACATAAGTTATAATGGTGAAGATTATAAAAAGTGGTTCTCTTAACTTATAAAATTATTACAACCCATTGATTATTTTAATACATACCTGTCCGAAATGTGCGGAAGCTGATGAATAGGCCGGTACTGGAGCTTCTTGAAAAAATATACTAAGAGCGGTCTAAAAAGAAATAGTAAACATTAATTTCGATTAAAAATAAACAAGGTCACATGGTTTCACGGTTCCCAAATTTTTCCACGTCTTATTTTACATCTAACAAGTGTCAATAACACGTAAATATATAAAAAAAAATTCTGAGCGGATCGATAAAGTCGGTATCGTTTCTCCATTTGTTGTCCTTCTCTATTTTTGTTTTGAATTCATAAGAAAACAACAAAAAAAATCAAGATGGCGGAGCCCCATTGGGATCTAGATTTGTTTATAGACACAATCTCCGTCAAACACGTGACCTTGAAGCCCTTGACCAAAAAAATATCGCGTTCGATATCCGGCGTTGTCGTCGTTTTCATCAAAATGAGTCGTCGTCGACGTGACGACGACGCCATTTTAGTGTCAACGAGATGGCGGTGACTGTGTTGTTTGTTTACAAACCGGTGTTGTACGCACCTCGAACTGCCAATGGGCCGCTTGAAGCAGCTGTTTAGCTTGTTCTCGAGCACATCCGGCGGCCAAAACAAATTGATTGATCATGACCTGTTCCCGAAGCGCTGTATCCATTTTTTTTATAGATATATATAATTTTTTTTAATTGATGAATTTCACAACTACGTGCACGACACTACGCTTCTTAAGAAACGAAAAAATAAATTTCTCACTGTCACGATGAACGTCCAATATCACTGTTGTCGGCACCACAACAACATACAACGACGGTTTCACGATGGACTTGTTTTGAAAACTGCACACACTTTACTCCCCACCTCCGCTCATAACCTCCTCATGAATGACGTCAGCGTAGTAGCGGATACGAGATTTCGTTGTGGTGGGGGTCAAATCTCCCAATGGTAGACTACAAATACATAGTATGATTTTCAACGTAAGTTTTTGTACAAAATAATTTGTATTGTATCTAAAGATAATTTCATCATTACAAAATTTTTATTATATTTATTTTTTTTTTTAGATTAATATTTTATTAAGCAATAAAAAAGATACTTGCACCGGTCAATTGCCTAATAGCGTGTTGGTCAATACACTTGCGTAACGTGGTCTATTCTAATCTCGGTCGGCTTCGTAACCGGCGTTTGTTTTGGCCGAAGCCGCCTTGTTATAACCGGCCTTTTTTTCCGTTTCTATTATTTTCTTTTTATGACCTACTTGAATTTAATTAATTTTTCGTGTTCTTTTTTTGTTTTGCATTAATTACTGGATGTAATTATACTTTCTTAAAAATAGATGTAATGAATGTGTAAAATCAGTCAATGAAATTGAAACGCGTACGCACGTCATTCATAAAATTTTTGTTCCTCCTCTTACTATGCACCAGACATAGTATCGGATATTTTTTCTTTTCCCTTCTATTTTTAGTTTTTGATTGATTGATGGTGTTCTTAACGATTTATTTACTTACGTTTTCTTTCTTATTCATTATTATTTCTATTCTTATTTATTCGAGTCTAAAAGATCATTAAAATTATGCGTGTACGATGTGTTTCCTGTAAGACAGGAAGTAGTTGACATTCAAGTTTTATTACTTTTTATAGACGTACAACGTCGAGGATCTATATTACCTCCGGAGAGAGTATTAAATAGTGAAGGAGCAACACAGCAGACGAAAGTTTTAGTATTAAGTTAAAGATATACTCATTCAAATTTAATTTTTTATTAAACATTCTAGAATACTTTGGGGTTTTTCTCCAAAGATTTAATCAACACTTTTTGCATATTTTTTTTCAATTTACATTGGTCTGTCTACTTTAAAGTCCAATAACACTTGCGCACGCAGTTGTCTACATCCTAATTTGAGCATTATATTATAACACTTTCTGCATATTTTTTTCAATTTGCATTCTTCTGTCTACTTTAAAGTCCAATAACAGTTGCGCACGCAGTTGTCTACATCCTAATTAGAGCATTATGTTATATAATTCTTTCTATACCAAGAAGTAATTAATTTCGGCATCCAGCTCAATATACCGCTTGGTACCTATTCTTAAGCAGTCAAAATACGATTTCTATTTTTAAGCAGTAAAACTAAAGGCGCCATGAAGCGCACTTAGAGCCAACACAAACCTGTGGTGAATGGATTAGGAAATGCCTGTTGGTCCTAATTCTAATGAATGAAAAATCCGAACCTGCAAGTCTTCGTAGTAAAATACGGGTAACGCTAACATAAGTAAGGACCGAGCGAGCAAACATCGGAATAAATGATCCAACTCCAACCAGTGAACAGCTTTGGGTGGAGGAACCGCTAGTGGAAGATAGAACTCTTTTGTCGTGAAACTAAGAAATGGTCTCGAAGACGAAGCAATCGTCAACCAAGAAATGGAAAAGCGCTAGGTCCAGAAGAACGGGACTTAAGATATGAAAGCCGATATGGAATGGGCACACTTTTCAAAGTTGCAGCGCTGAGAAAATTTAAGCTGGAAACAGAGCATATTTTAATCTCCAGCATTTGCTTAAGCCACGATTACGTGAAGGCTGACCTGAGAAGACTGGGAGTGAGGAGCTGAAATGTCAAAAGCATTGGTATTTTTGCTTTCAGATTCCGATGTTTGATTCATAAAAGAACAAATATTAGAAAATATATTTTCATAGCACCTTTCTTAAACATTGCACTATGCAATTAAAGAACTTCATTTTATCGATATACCAATTGATTCACAAACAATATAACCCAAATTCTCTTTTCACGTTGTATTATTTTATAAGATTGCGTGGTACGATTCGAAGAGGTTGGTTCATTTACATTTCAAATTGCATAATTAGGGCAAAACCGTGACTAATTTCAACTTATTGTTAGTACTCGTCCACGTGGGTTACAAATTTTAAAACAAAAGGTCACAAAAATAGTAAAAAAGAATTTTTTTTAGTCACTATAAAAAAATATACATTTTTTTTCTTAAAATTAAGTCCTCATATTAATAATTTCACGCGTAGCAACTTTACAAATTTCATCGAAATCTTCCTTTAAATGCGATCTCCAAAATTTGCACTTTCCCCAAATAAAAGCGGGATAATTCGGGCTTTGAATACCATAAAAAATCCTTGCAATCGCTCGCCCGGTAAAATTATTATCTCGATACATCGCGATAATTTGTCGGGTGTCGTTGATGATTTGATCTTCATTGATGGGTTTCATTTTTATAACGACGTCTTTTAACGGTTCCGGACTTTCAAAATACTGTCGAATTGTTTTCTTTAATTCAATTTCTTTATTGGAAACTTGTAGGCATGATTTAAAAGATTTTTCTGAAACTTGTGTTAAAGCTGAATGAATTGAGTGTAATTGTAATAATCCTTGTTTTTCTTGGTTTTTAACTCGGGTGTATAAAGAATCTAAGGCTTCATCGAGTTGATTATCGTTAAGATTTCCAGGTGCTAACACCCTAAATCCTAAATTAGTGAATTGTACCGATAAGTTGGACCTTTTTGGTTGGTTATTAATAATCATCCATTCTAAATTTTTTAATTTATGTTTACAAATCCCGCTATCCCAACCCATAGCAGCGGCGACATCAACAACGGGAAATTCAAAGACCGTCCCTTCAACATCTTTTCCGTACAAAGCTAACGCCATCGCTAAAGGTGGACAATCCTTTGCAGCTTTTTTTATTTTGTTTGAACCGCTGTACGAGATAATCTTACAATTTATATAAGCGGGGCTTAACACCTCCACGTATCGATTTTCGTGTAGCTCTAAATAACATAGTAATGTCGCAATGTTTTCTTCGGGTACGTCCAAAAACGTTACAGTGTCTTGAATTGAAAAAGCCACCTCATGTTTTGAACATTTCGTTTTACACGAGCAGGGAATAAAAATCTTTTTTAGAAGTTTTCTTATTACGTGGCGATCGATTGAGTTTGCGTATATGTGTCTTCTTAATTCATTTTCATCGTTACCCTAAATTAAAAATTTGATTAAAAAATTAAGTTATTTTAATTAACTCACGTGACAATCAAGAAATAAGTGGCAATGAGCTGGTAAACCATCCCGACCGGCTCTTCCAACTTCTTGAACGTATCCTTCAAAACTACTCGGCATATTATAATGAATTACGGCTCGAATATCACATTTATTTATTCCCATTCCTAATCAAAAAATATTTATTATCTAATTTAATTTACCTCAAATTTATCAAATTTACCGAAAGCAACTGTAGCAACAACAATTTTTAATTCCCCGGACATAAACGACTTTTGTATACTTCTCCTTCTAGAAGCAGCCATCCCGGCGTGATAAGGCTCAGCTTGGCAACTCATCCTTTTCCTTTTCTTCCCACCTCCTTCCCCAACTTTTTCGTCTTTCAAAGAAGTCCGTAAAAACGCCGCGATTCTTTCACATTCTTGCCTCCGAGTACAATAAACAATAACGCTTTTGTATTTAGAAAAATTTTCCGAAAGTAATAATCCCAATAAAGCGTGATCGCGATTTCCATCCTTTGATACTGTTAATCTCAAATTATTCGGTAAAGGAACGTCGCTGATAATACCATCTCTTCTGTCGATTATTTGGAGATGATCAACGATGTTATCGGAGGTTGAACGAGTTGCTGTTGCTGTTAAACCTAAGATTACGCTAACTCCTAAACGTTCTCGGAGAATTCTACAAATCATTAGGTAAGATGGCCGGAAATTGTGGGACCACTGTGATACGCAATGAGCTTCATCTATGCAAGCGAATGCAATTGGTGGTAATTGACGAAGAAATGAACCAAAACCTAACAAATAAAAAAAATTTTAATCAAAAACATAAAATGTTATTATAAGTATGAAGTGTTTTCACGGCCGGTGTTGTTCACGTTTCAGATGCCATGTTGCAATCATAACGCAAAGAGTATATTCCTGTTAAGATGTAAGACAGGAAAATAAAGATGAATTGCTCCACAACATTGATATAAGGTACAAGACGCGAAAAATGAATTAAAACATTTGAAAACTTAGACTTGCTAGGAAAACCTCGAGGCGGCTACCCACCCGAACGACTAACCAACCGAGTAACCTCAAACCAAGTGGCGCCCCACACACAATAAAAGATAAAAAAGGACCTCCTCAAGACTTTAAAATTCACCTATGCACTTGGAACAGAATATTTCAACCCCTTCACCTATGAACAAATTACGGAAGCCCTGAATGAAATGAAAACGGGAAAAGCCTTCATACCATTCATACTGAGTTTCTGAAGCATAGTGGAAGATTTACTAGGCAATGGCTTGCAAAGTTGAGTTGTAAGTTGAAAGGCGATGGGAGCTATTCCATGCAGAAAGATCACTGATGTTATCAATGCCATGCTATGTAACAGATGCTTCCAAGTCATTATCAGCGAAAATAGTAGTACCCAAATGAAACTGAATAATGGCCTTCCACAACTTCAGTCTCTACGTAGCAGACATGCCCAAAACCACATCACAGAAGGTCGGATACGTAGACGTCTGGGCGTTTGCTAGAAACCATAAAGAATTGGTGACAATTCTGACAAATGACGTGGCTACCCTGGGGAGACATTTCTGCGACTGGAGATTACAACCCAATGCCGCCAAGACGGAACCAATTTAAAATCAACCTTGAAGACGGAAGTCTGTCTTTAAAGTAAATTACAATAAACACCCAAAATACCTAGGTGTCACTCTCAATAGAACCGTGGCTGAAGACGCACAGCTAAACCCAAACGTTTCTAGTTCTAGTGTTAGTTCTATTGATAGTACTAGTATTAGTTCTAGGTCTAATATTAATAATTCTAGTGATATTGTTAGATCTAGTTTTAGTTCAATAAAACTTTATTATAACTTAGAAATTAACCTACCACTTGATCTCTCTCCGGATACAACAGCTTCTGGCGAAACCAACAAAATACTTAAAGCCCCAGAATTAATCAATTCTTTAATTTTTTCCCGTTGAGTTTTAGTTTGATTAGTATGCAAACAAGCAGCTTTTATCATAACGCAAAGAGTATATTCCTGTTAAGATGTAAGACAGGAAGATAAAGATGAATTGCTCCACAACATTGATACAAGGTACAAGACGCAAAAAATGGATTAAGACATTTGAAAACTTAGACTTGCTAGGAAAACCCCGAGGCGGCTACCCACCCGAACGACTAACCAACCGAGTGACCTCAAACCAATTGGCGCCCCACACACAATTAAAGATAAAAAAGGACCTCCTCAAGACTTTAAAATTCACCTATGCACTTGGAACAGAATATTTCAATCCCTTCACCTATGAACAAATTACGGAAGCCCTGAATGAAATGAAAACGGGAAAAGCCTTCATACCATTCATACTGAGTTTCTGAAGCATAGTGGANACCTATGCACTTGGAACAGAATATTTCAATCCCTTCACCTATGAACAAATTACGGAAGCCCTGAATGAAATGAAAACGGGAAAAGCCTTCATACCATTCATACTGAGTTTCTGAAGCATAGTGGAAGATTTACTAGGCAATGGCTTGCAAAGTTGAGTTGTAAGTTGAAAGGCGATGGGAGCTATTCCATGCAGAAAGATCACTGATGTTATCAATGCCATGCTATGTAACAGATGCTTCCAAGTCATCATCAGCGAAAATAGTAGTACCCAAATGAAACTGAATAATGGCCTTCCACAACTTCAGTCTCTACGTAGCAGACATGCCCAAAACCACATCACAGAAGTTCGGATACGTAGACGTCTGGGCGTTTGCTAGAAACCATAAAGGTGACAATTCTGACAAATGACGTGGCTACCCTGGGGAGACATTTCCGCGACTGGAGATTACAACCCAATGCCGCCAAGACGGAACCAATTTAAAATCAACCTTGAAGACGGAAGTCTGTCTTTAAAGTAAATTACAATAAACACCCAAAATACCTAGGTGTCACTCTCAATAGAACCGTGGCTGAAGACGCACAGCTAAACCCAAACGTTTCTAGTTCTAGTGTTAGTTCTATTGATAGTACTAGTATTAGTTCTAGGTCTAATATTAATTCTAGTGATATTGTTAGATCTAGTTTTAGTTCAATAAAACTTTATTATAACTTAGAAATTAACCTACCACTTGATCTCTCTCCGGATACAACAGCTTCTGGCGAAACCAACAAAATACTTAAAGCCCCAGAATTAATCAATTCTTTAATTTTTTCCCGTTGAGTTTTAGTTTGATTAGTATGCAAACAAGCAGCTTTTAAAAACGGGGGTAACCCAACGACTTGATCTTCCATTAAAGAAACTAACGGTGAGATAATCAACGATATGCAGGACTCCTTCTTGGAATATAAATACGCTGGAAGTTGGTAGCATAAACTTTTTCCAGAACCAGTGCTCAATGTAACTAAAGTCGATTTTCCTGAGAGTATTCTCATAATTGCTTGTTCTTGTCCTCCACGGAATTTTGAGTGTCCAAACAGTGATAAAGTCTCAAAAACTTCTTTGGGAGTATCGATAATTGAACCGTCCTCCTTTAATTTAAAATATGGCTTAACTAAACTTGTTGAATCTAAGTATTCTTGCATTTCAATTTTTTTTACGTACTCTTCTAATTTTAAACCTTCTTCTAAAAGAAGTTCGTCTTCACTGTCTAAACTTAAATCGGAACTATCATTATTATCACTTTCATTATCGTCACTCGCATTGTTATCATCTTTGTCATAATCTTCATTATTGTCATTTTGATTATTTAAATCTTTTTTTTGTTTACTTCTTATGGCTAAAACACCTTGTGCCATCTTCTCAGCTTCTTCTAACGTAGGAATTAAGCATGATTCTTCCTCATCATCTCCTGCGTTTAATGGTAATAACGCATCACTTTTTTTCTTTTGACAATTTCGAGCGAAATGTCCCACATCACCGCATAAGAAACATTTTAAAAGACCACCATCGCATCCGGTCATATCCATTTCCGGGCCGGCTAAAGCACCTTGCTTTTTTTTCTTCCACATATTTTTTTTGTATTTAGAATAAGTGAATTTCTTTTGACCGCGAGCATAAATTTTTTTTTTTAAATCAATTCGAACAAAATTCTCGTTTAATGTTCCAGAAGCGACCTTTTCTTCTAATTTTTCTTTATTTGTTTGTTGTGATTTCGGTTTCTTAGCAACGTTTTCTTTTCGTTTTTTAATCGTTTCTTTTACATTTGTGATTCTTGGTGTTGATTTTATTCGGGGTTTCACGGAGTATTCTAATTCATATTCTTCCATTTGCGAATCTTCAATTTGAGTTTTTTCTTTTTGTTTAATATTTTGTGTCTTTTTAATTTTCCCATTCAAATTTTTTTTAGAATTTGATTTTTTCTTTGAAGATTTTGGTGAATCATCAGAATCGAAATCATAAACATCGTTTTTGTTTGATGAATTTGGTGTAAATTGTGGATCATCATCGGATTCACCATCGAAAGGATCCTTTTCCGTTTCAGAATCATCTTCTTTAAAATTATAACTTTTCCTTCGTGTTACAATTAAATCATTTTTAGGATTTATTTTTTTAACCTCGTTATTTTCTCTTAAAATATTTGTATTATTCGTACTATTCCCAACAAATTTTATTCTTTTCGGTGGTGGTAAAACATTTTGTGAACTCTCTTCATCAGAATTTTCAACCAACTCATCACTATCAAACTCTTTCTCAACCTTCTCATTCAATTTAACATATTTTTGACTTAATAAAAAATCATTTTCGTTATTTTTATTACTCTCAACAACTTCACAACCATTTTTTTCAGTTACTCTTTGCAACCAACCCATATCTAAAGCTCTCCTAGGTTTATAATCATTACTAAGCACGCTTTGTATAATATTTAACGATGTTGCATTAATATTAGAAGACGAATTTATTATTTTTACATTCGTATTTAAAGATGAAGTAAATTCATTTACAAATTCTTGCGATAATGAAGGTTTCAAAGTAGAATTAGAATCAATAACAGGTTGTGAAAGTGATTTTGCTTCATTTAAATTAACCTCACTTTTCCGGCTATGAAATGATAAAGATTTCCTTGGATTACGCTTTGAAAATTTTGATCCATTGAATAACTTTTTTGATATCAAAGAATTTATTGCGTTTTCTTCTTTCGTTTCTTCAACAACCTCAACTTGTTTACATTTAACTGCTTCACCCCAAGCTTTTTCATTTAACTTAACATATTCCTGCTCTTCAACAGTTAATTTATCTTCTTCTTGAGTAAATAATTCATTACCATCATTTCTTGATTCTATTTTATCTTCGTCTGATTCAAATCCCTCAATGTCCTTAAAACTTTGTTCCAACGCATTCGATTTTAAATTAAAATAAGTCTTGTATGCAAATTTAACCTCATCATCGGCTTCTCTTATATCTAACTATTAAAACGAGTGATTTAAAAATGATTTTGAATTAATTTATGGTTTAGTTACCTTCGAAGGTATTCTTCCGTGTTGCTTTTTAAATTGGTGTTCCCAAAGTTTTACGCGATATTTGCATTTATCGTACATTTTTCTCGTGGCGGGATCCAAAATTATATCCATTATTGCGTTCTAATTAAAGTAGTTTTAACTTAAATTAAAAAATTAAACTATAAACATGTGTTGTGTGATTGATGATGTAAAAAATGGTAAAAATGCAATTCCCGCTCTTTTTGTGTCAATAACGTGAAAGTAGTTGCAAACACTAAAATTTATTTATTTAAAATATTGTTGTAATTATTTTCTATTATATGTTGTTATTTTTATTTAATAATTATAAAGCGTTATATTCGTTAAAATAAGAAGTTTTGAATTTCTAATTTGTTTTTTATTTATTTTGTTATAATAAAGAAAAATGGGGTTGCCAACTTATGATTTATTTAATTAATTTTTTACTGTTGTTTATTTTTTCTTTAAAACTGTATACTATATACCATTAATTTTTTTTAAATGTAATTTAATTAAATTTTCAAATATGTTTTCTTTAATTTTAATTGCAAAACCATTTAAAAAATATAAAAAAGATTAAAAAAAATAACGACTGTGCGCCACCTATCTTTTAATTTTTTAATTGTTAAAGTGATGCCGTAATTGCTACATTATAAAGAAATGTAAAGAAATCTTAACAGTTAACGAAAGGAACGTTAAAGAGTTATATTTCTAATTTGAGTACGGAAAAAGTTTCTCTATAAGAATTAGGGGAATTAGGGGCACAAAAGTTGTAATACAAAGTATAGGTACAGGTCAAAAATTGAAGATATTTTAGCTGTAATATGTGACAACTTTTAACCAATTAAATCATCTGCTTATAGAATACCTTTTTTGAAGAGTCACCTAACTTATAATCCTGTTCAATATATCAAACAGAAAGCAGATATGGGTTCTCTAGTCCTTGGGCTTTATCTAGGAAATTAGAGATTATTACAAAGAAGAAATAATCTACTTAGCAATAATTGTTATCTTGTGCACCTGTAAAGTTTTAGTTGTGATAGTGCATTGTAGCTGTAAACATTCTCAGACTATTCCCAGAGAATCACATTATCTAGTTACCCAAGCAGCTGTGCTGGAGAGGCAGTGGTTGAAATATTTTGAATAAAGGCATTAAAGGTTACTTTTGAACATGATTATATTAGCTAAAAGCCAAGGTAGCTGATCTATGTTTGTCTACTGCTATGCTTGTTGTATGCTGTCTGTAGATATTTAGTTAACAGCTTTGCTACACTGTCTACAGCTGCAGTGAGCTGCAGTTTGCTATAGTTTGTATACCATAACCTCTTATAGGTCTATCATTTTAACACAATTTAATTTGCAAGTATGAACTCTGAAGTTCAATTACCTGGGGTGAAGTAATAACAAACATCATGTAATAGTCAAAGCCGGAAAATAGAGGAAAACGGTTATTATCTTAATTGATTATTTCAAACTGGTCTACATCTTGGTTGGACAAGAACTACTACCAGATATTACGCTAAGAGGGAAGATAAAGTGAAGATAGTTTAAGGGTTTATGGTCGTAATAATAAAAAGTTAATTTGGGTGATAATGTACAAATAATATACTTTGTCTTACTAGGTCACTATTTGGTTTTGTTATATCATTTTGTTCGTTTTCTTATTACTTCTATAAATTTTTCATCTTTGTAGTGAGTTAAAAAAGTTAAAAAAAGTACTATATAAATGGTGAAAACTATTTTTATTATAAACATTTTAATTAAACATTAATATATAAATCAACGCCATATTTTAATCGATTTTAGTACAATGCTTTAATCGGAGCAGGTTTCGTTCCCTGTAAAACAAAAAAGTTTACAAAAGTAAGCAATTTACTTCATTTTCTTAATATACTTACAACAGGTTGAGGTAAAGGTCTAGGTCTCTATTTCAATGTAAAATATAGATTAATTTAAATTAATAGGTTTAAAAGAAGATAATTTTAACTTACAACCGGTTGAACTTGTGGTCTTAAATCTGGTCCTCCAGTTTTAGGAATGTCCTTAGTTTGTCTCTGAAATTTAATTAATGATAATTAAATTATTTATTATTAATTACCTTTATTTTTTTTATATTTACGGTTTGGCGAGCAAAAGTTTTTATTGGACGAGGCCGATTTTGATCCTGAAAAATTAAATAAATTTAAAATGAATTATTATTAATATATTAACTTACAATTGGATCAATTTGAGGGCCATCTAAAGAACCTGGTCGTCCTCCTGTTTTAGGAATATCCTTAGTTTGTCTCTGAAAATTTTTGTTTTAATCTAACGTTTAAGTATATCTATTGTTATTCTTACAACTGATCGATTAAGGGGTTTTGCTGGAATTGGACGAGTTTGATCCTAAAATACAATAAAGGTTAAATTGATTATTTGTTAATAAAATTTGTTAATAACATACAATTGGATCAATTTGAGGGCCATCTAAAGAACCTGGTTGTCCTCCTGTTTTAGGAATATCCTTAGTTTGTCTCTGAAAATTTTTTTTAATCTAACATTGTTTAAGTATATTTATTTTTATTCTTACAACTGATCGATTAAGGGGTTTTGCTGGAATTGGACGAGTTTGTTCCTAAAATACAATAACAGTTAAATTGATTATTTGTTAATAACATTTGTTAATAACTTACAATTGGATCAATTTGAGGGCCATCTAAAGAACCTGGTCGTCCTCCTGTTTTAGGAATATCCTTAGTTTGTCTCTGAAAATTTTTTTTAATCTAATATTGTTTAAGTATATTTATTTTTATTCTTACAACTGATCGATTAAGGGGTTTTGCTGGAATTGGACGAGTTTGATCCTAAAATATAATGAAGATTAAATTGATTATTTGTTAATAAAATTTGTTAATAACATACGATTGGATCAATTTGAGGGCCATCTAAAGAACCTGGTGGACCTCCGTGTTTAGGAATATCCTTAGTTTGCCTCTAAAAAAAATTTATTAAATTTATTATTATTATAATTCATTATTTTTTTTATTCTTACAGCTGATCTAGCTTGAGGATTTACGGGAAGAGGAAGAGTAGCTGGTTTCTAAAAAATGATATTAAATTATATTATGCTTAAATTTTTGTGATGTTTAATCTTACTTCAGGGCGTGTAAGTTCACTTGGTTTAATTTTCTGTTTAAAAAATAATTCATTTAAATTCTTTTTTTAGATAGTAATCAAATAAATTACCGGTGGTTGAACTTGAGGTTGAGTTGGATCTTGACGTCTAACTCTAGCACCTGACGCTGGTACTGGAACGGGTTTAATTGGTCCTCCTGCTGACCCAGGAGCTGGACCTGGTACTCCTTGAGGAATTGAGTAACAAACGCTTACCAAAAAGGTAAATAATAAAACTGGCAACATCTACAAAAAAATTAATATAAGCCAAATGTATTTAAAAACATCAACTTACATTGAACATTGTAGTGTTATCAAAACAGTCGACAGTGATAATACTTAAAAGCGACTGATTTGGAATCGTTTTACTCCTAACTTTTATACCTACGTCTCTAATGGAGCTATTTTTTTGTGTGATGGTAAACAGTTTATATAAAATAGAATAACAAGTACTTCTTTACCAGACAAATGCTAATTATTCCTGGAATAGAACCGCAATAAATTTGCTTGGTGTAAATATTGATGGTCAGTTGAGCATAGAAAAATTAACAAAGTAAGTCCCCTCAAAGTAAATCAACAATTTTTTTTCTCTCTCAATTGTATAACACATACACTCTTTTATTTAATAAGCACTTCAGATATCTCTCGGTTTTTCTGGTTTATAGATAAACAACATTTTTGTTATGTTCTTATATAATATTGCTTTCTTAATTTGTCGTTGAACCTAATAACCTTTAAACTTTTAAAGATAAGTTTGGTGTTTTGTTTATATTTTAAAGTATTTATTTATGGTTTAATTTAATTGTTATTTTAATTAAATTATTTTCATAAATAAATAATTATGATTGGTGAGTAGGCAACGCATATTTCGTCATAATCCATATAATCATATAATTGAAGCTTGGTTTGTGGAGATTTGCCTAAATGAGAGAGTAAATAATTTAAGAAAGTAACACGTAAACTTACGGCTTTTCATTGTCTAATGTAAAATTGTCGAAAAATGTTTTCACTTGAAACTCATCGCCATACACGAGGGAAAATATTAATTAAATCGTATCTTTATTTACCGATTTTGCATACATTATAAAAACAAACAAAATTTCAATCAGGTTTAAAAGTTTTTATTTATAATAAAAGCATTTTTAACAAAAAAAAAATTAAACATATCTAAATATGTATAATGATTTCCTTTTTTAAATATTCACATTTACTTTGTCTTCTCCCCATTACCTTACGGTGTCAAGGTGTTGGCCATTTTCCGTACTCTTGCCTGTTGTTGAGTAGGTTCTTTATTTGTCGTTCAATAAAAATATACACCTAAAATTCGAATTAACACAAGACCTAGAAACATTTGGGTTTAGCAGTCTTGAAAAATTCAAGGCTTAACCCGCATATTTCTAGTTCTAGTCCAAGTGCTAATGTTAGTTCTAGTTTTGGTTCAATAAATTCAACTTTGTTAAAAAAATATTTATTTTTATAATTTTAATAATTGGTAAATAGATTAACTTTAAAAGTTTTTATTTGCAATAAAGGTACCTTTTAACAAAAAAAATTAAGCTTATAGATAAATATTTAAAGATATACATCAAAAAACTAGTTGTACATAATGGTATTATAATATAATTCTTTTTATTTTTAAATATTTATGTTGTTTTTAAGTTGAAAATTTTAAATAGGCACTTAATAGTTTAAAATGTGACGCATACAATTTATTAATACCGATTACAACCATCATTGTTTCAATATAAACTTAAATGGTAAACATACAAGTAGAGAATAGAGATTTTAATATATCGTATTCGTAAACAATCAATAAAGCACAGCTCCAAGATTTATTTTAAAATGAGATAAATTGTTTTTAAACATTAAATAAGCAAGAAAGAAAAATAACATAATATTATATAAATAATCTATACAAAGAATAACACAAATAGATTTCATAAAATTAACATTTTCTGTTTTTTCTTAAATAAAAATATAAAAAATAAATTAATCGACCAAAATAATGTACATAAATTATTTTTAGTATAAATATTAAACTTTATGATTTACTTAAATTATATTAACATTTTAGTTTTTTATTTTTTTTTTTTTTTCTAAGAACAATCTCCACAACCGAAACACTTCAAACCAATATAATATATTAAGTAAGTGAACTTTAAATATAAAATTAAATTACACTACCCATTTATGTAGAATTTAAGAGGTTTTGGTAACTGTTTTTTCGTAATCTTCTTCTCAAAGCATCCTTATATTTTTATCGGTTAAAGGGTTTTGTATATATGACCTAAAAACAAAAAGAAATACTTTAATTAAATATATTTATCAAAAATATATTTGTAAAAATAAAATAAAATAGAAGCAGAGAATATTTAATAAAGAATTTGATGGAATAACTTAAAAATAGCAGGGGAGAACAACAACACTCATTCTTACCCATTTTTATTCACTCAAAATTGGTAACAGAGACCCATAGAAAGAATAAATTAATTAGTATGATAAGGATTTTAACACAAATAGATCATAAAGTTAAACTTACAATTCAATGTTGTGTATAGTAGATGTTGGACAATTATCATTAACTTTAACGTGACATTGTTTGTGGCATTTTAATAAGCAATCCCTACACTCATAACCTTGTTTTCCAATTCTACGTGCTATCGTTTTACAACAAACTTGACAAACAGTTCCACTAAAAACAATATCTCAATTGAGCCATAGTTAATTTAGATAAATTTAAATCGTACCCAGTAATATGCTTAGCAATAAACGTGTGATCATTAAATATATGTAATTTAGTCCCTTTCTTTTTCCATTTAGATTTTTGTGCCAATGACAACGGAACTAAGTAGTGCTTCTTAATTCCGTTCTCTAAGGTTTCCAACACTAGAGTACTCGCTTCATTTATATAAGTCCTAGTTGATGTACTACTTAAACCCGAAGCTTCCGATAAACTCGATCGTCGCGATGTTTCTTCCGGTCTCCCCCCAGGAACGGTAAGTTTATAACCTACAAATTATTTTTTTAAAATTAATATGTCAAATAAGTTATCAAAAAGTACTTTCACCACGGCCTCTATCCGCTGATATCGAACGATTTAAAGAATCCTCTCTCCCGAAATCTTCATCACCGGGGCCAGCACTTTTTGATCTCCCTTTAGAACGCCCCAATCTCCTTTTTATAGTCCCAAAGAAATCTCGTCTTTTCCGGGAACGACCACGATATTCTAACGATTCATTTGGAATTTGTGTTTGGTGGTATTGGCTGTATGGTGATTGTTGTAAAGACGCTGGACCCTAAAATAATTATTGATTCATATTTTTATAAATAATAATTATGTTTAATAAAATAAAACTTATTACGAAATTTTTTTAAGGGAGTTATGTTAAGTCTTACAGTAACTTAATAATTTTAAATTAAAAATATTTTATTTTATTAAACACAAAATTTTATTTAAGTTGAAATAAGAAAGAAATATAAAAAGAAGAGTATTGGATAACTTTAATATTATTCTCGAAAATTATATAAAAAAATAGAAGTAGTTGATTTAGTAGGGTTATGACAAAATCGAAAAAATCAACTTACTTTTTCTTCATCGGTAACAGTTGTGTTACCATTACCGATATTTCCGTTTCCGTTAGATAATTCATCGAGCTTTTCTTGTAACTCTTCTCGTGCAATATCGTCGTTTAAAGATTTTTCGATGCGTTCGACTTCTTTCCAAGAGCCTTCGCTCAGCTCAACCTGGGTTAGTATCAAAATAAAAACCAGAAACACAGAAAAAAACGAAAAAGAAAAAAATAAAAAAAGTAGAAACACACATTTTATTAGGAAATAATAAGTTCTACTCTTAGTAATGAGTGTTTTTAGTTTCTTAAAACACAAAATATTTTAAATGAAAATGTTGTGTTAAATCTTACCTTTACTAATCGTTGAGATGGCTGCTAAAATAATAAAAATGATTAATATATTTAAAGTTAAAACGAAACAACTTACTCTTTGCATGCTATGAACCACTAAAGTGTTTGTATTTGGGTTAAATGATGACGGTCTTCTGTAATCTCCATCGACAAAGTGATCTCCATTAGTTAATCTATCTAAAATAGAAAAAAGTATTATTTTTGTATTTAAATAATAATTAAATAGAGTGGTGGTTAAATAATTCTAAATATCAGTGCTTACTAACCATTTCTAAAGACAGGATTGGGGCTCAAGCGACCACTAGAAGGTGATGGGGAAATGGTTTCTTTAATTTTATAAGGGTGACTGCCTACAATTGGAATATCAGCACCTTCTATAAACAAGAACTGAAAAAGTGGTATACAAAGAACATTGTTACAACACTTAAATGTTTATGGAGCTGATTTTTTCGACATACTTCAGCGGTTAGAGTTCCTGAAACTTGATCACTCTCATATGGTCGACTTTGTAGAGAAATCGTTTGTCTTTGAGATGGATTTATTAAAAGCTCTTCAACACCAACGATTCCTAAGCCTAAAAATCTTGGGGGTTTTTTACTATGATCGTAAATTTCTAAAAGAAGTTCTTGAGTATTCGATGAAATCTCACTAAAAATGAAAACGATTATTTATTAAGTGAGGTTATGGACTGGTTGATTGGTTGCCTATACTCGTCAAATGTCATAATAAATACATAACCTAAAATAAATTACTTACAATAAGAAATGTTCGTCCCAATAAGGTGAATCAGTATTTTTTTGAAACGATGTTTGGTATTTTTGCGGTGGTTCATCCATTTCAATGACACAATAAGGTTCAGTACATCCTAAATTGCCACCAAGTTGGGTTGCTCTTATTATTTTTACTAATAATCTTTTATCGCTAGGTATTCGATTCGTTGACATATGATTTATGCTTGATGTATATCCACTTAACTAGTTATTAATCATTTATTAACCACAACAAAATAATTTCTCCACAACAATACTTACCATACTATCGTAATGAAGAGGTAAACTCCTGTTTGTATTCAACACTTCAATATGTCTAATTAATCTTGGACATGATGCATATTGTGCCAAATTTAAATGGAATTCTGTGCTTCTTAAAGCAGCAGTTACAATTTCACTGAAACATAAAGAAAAAAACGATAGATATTTTAATTAAAATGAAAGCTTTTATTTTACCTAACTACATCTTGTAGTTGAGATTCGTCAAGGTTATTTTTAATGTTACCAACCGGAGCCAAAGCAATCTTAATTTCCGGCCAACCATCGCATTTTAAGTCAGCTTGAAGCTTTTCCGATATTAAATAAATGTTCAGTCTCGCACGTAATCGGTTCACATTTACACGATAATGAGATGTTTCCAATTTGTCCCCTTTTTTTCTTGTACATTTTAATTGGAAAGCTGGTGTGGCTTCGCAATCACAAGTTAAAACCTGTATGAATAAACAAAATTAAGAATAAAACATAGTATTAAGAAAAGTTGTAACCCAACTTTTATATTGTATTATAATTTTAGGTTATGATGGTAATGTCAAAAATGTAAATAAATCATTATGAGGTGGTTTTTGGTAAAAAGAAGGGATTTATATCTGAAAATAAAGCAAAAAGATTCTAATTCATGTTATGATATCAAGATATAAAAGATTTGTGGCAAAAAAGTTCAAAATTAAATCTTATAAGAAATTTTAATTGTAGGTTATTTGAAAAAAATGTAAATTTTATTTAATTGCTGAAAGATTATTTACATGTAGGAGTTAAGATATGATTTATATCTCAAATTAAAGCTCAGAATCTTTGATTGTATATATAATATGGATTGAGCTAACTGAATATATCTACTAACAAAAATGTGGCTCAAGGTGAATAGACGCAGATGGAAAGCGATAATGTGAAAGTGTAACAAAGATAGACATAAAACGGTACTAAACAGACGGGCGCATGCGCACAAAAGTGTCAAACCTCTTCCATTTGATGTTTATCGTTTTGTTGTGTCACAGCCAGTCACACCGTTATGTTTAAAAATGTATTGTTTCGTGTGCAAAGTTCGCGATAATACAGTTTCACATCACCTGTAAGTATTATAAATAATAAGGAAATTTTATTTTATTTTTTTTTTTTCTTTTTTCATTTATTAATTTTGTTTTAAATTTACCGCCAAAATTAACGCACGCCCATTATATGTCAGTACGCTTCTATGTCTATCTCGGTTCGATCACCTTGCGTAAGCTATCTCTGTCGTTGGCTCAATCTATATTATATATAATCAAAGCTCAGAATCGATATTTTAACATCATTTAAAAAACCACCAGGTTTTATTGCATATTTATTTAGAAAACGATGGTGAAGAAAATACTTGTAAAATACCTAGATTTCGAAATGTCAACAAATCGAAAATTTGAATAAATGATTTCAAGGTTATTTTTTGGTATAAAGTAGTAATTTATATCTCAAATTAAAGCTAGAAGACTCTAGATCGTGTTATTATATTAAGATATAGAAGATTTATGCAAAAACTCCAAATGTTTAACATGGCAATTTTTTTTTGTAATTTTATTTTAATAAGCTTTGTTATTAAATCCCCTTTTTTGAAATCCCAAATCATCTTTGTTCCTACGCATCATAAATTTGGATTATATCCAAAAAACTAAAGGATTCTTGACTAAGATCCAAGGTATTTTTGGTATTATTCACTTATTACCGGATCTTCTTACGTTTTGTGCGGGTGTTACAAGTAGTTAGCTAACAAGTTACTATATCTAATACTTACCACATCATCTTTGCTATCACATTCGCAAAACAAATTGGTCAATGATGGAGGATGTGTTTCTGGTAATATACGAACGAATTCAATCCCAATTCCTTGCTAAAAAAAATAAAATTGGATCTGTTTATATAATCAAACCGTATTAAATTTAAATTTTTATTGCTTGTGACTCGGTTAGACATTCATTAATATTCCGATGACCTAAACATGACCTCAATTGATATAAAAAATCTACGTGAATGGATTGAATTAGATCATCGGTTTAATTTTAATTATTAGCTTTGTTTATAATCAAATTAAAATTTCTAATCTAATAAAATTACTTTCGTTGCTAAGCAAGAAGTGAAAGGGCTACGTCATTAACAAGTTAACAAAAAAAAATTATAGAACTTTCACCAAGTTACAATGAAAGTTTAAAGCTCATACAAATCTTTTAACGCGAAGAAACTAGGAAAGAAGTTAAAAAAAGATTTTAAGAAAACGTAAAAGGATTCTTTTACTTTAAGAAAGTTCTTTGAAATCGGATATACGCAACCGGAATACTAAAGATGAGCTTGACCGGAAATTGAGATTTCTTTTAAGAAGGTTAATTTTATTTTCGATTTGGAACGCGGTTGTCTGTGTGTTGGTTTCGTTTGACATCATCGTTCCTTCTAAAAATAAACGAACGTAAAAGTAATGACGTCATTTCACCTAAAACCTTAGCGTATTAAAACGTGTACAAACTAGAACACTAATTCGATTTTACAACATTAAATTTACAATCGCGTTGTAATTGGGTTTAGTATACACTCTGCTTTTAGAAAATTTTAAATAAAACATGAAAGCAAATGGGATTAAAGATAACAAATATAATAGTAAAACTTTGTTTTAATACGAATTAGGTTATTTTTTTTTAAATCTTTGTAACTTTCTATTATTTAAGCTGGAAGTGGAGAATATAACACTTTGATTAAAACTGTTCTTTTTTTAGTAACGGAAATTAGAACGACCACTAATCTTATTTATAGTTTGAATAATATGATAATGTCGGAATATTATTTTTTAATTAGAACTATTTTTTATTAAAATCTCTTAAAATTATTTAATGTAATAATCAGAAAAAAATGACATTTTGAAAACTTTTGTCCTCTTTTTATACTTATTAGAACTGCTACACTTTCAATAATTTTTCTTCATTTTGAAAGGACTCGAGCAAGCTTTTAAGAGTTACGGTTCACAAAGAGATATGAGAGAAACACGATTTCTGAGCATTTCTTGGTGGAATAAGTAAAGAGAGCTGTCCATAATTGAAAAAAAAAATTGATTTTTTCGATCTGAACAGTTAGCGTTTTTACTTACATACGAAGATCATCTATAATGATTTTAAAGGACGGAATAATTGTTTAGAGATTGTCTCCTGAGAGACTTTCTTCTTCAGAAACGTTGCGTGCAGGTACTAGATAGCTTCAGGAATACGGAAAGATGCAGACAAACTTTTCTCTGTGGCCACCTAAATGTGTACACAACTAACTTTGTGATTTTAAAACTAATCTGATTAATAAGATTAGTAATAGATCATATTATGCCATATTATAATAGATAGTGAATGATTATAACAGAAGCAACTAAGAATTCTAAGAAATACTTATAAGATTTGTATAACAATTCACAAATGTTAAGGGGTTTCCTGAGGTATTTAAGGCTTTCTGCAAATCTTTTGGAAGGGAAGACCTTAGTGTGAAAATCAACAGGAAATGATAATAAATATTGTGGAGAATAAAATAATCAGCAAAATGGGAGACACAAAGAAATCTAACCCCAAGGCAATTAAGCTAATTAAATGGCCAAATTAATTCAAGTACAAAGTAACTCAATCGAACCTCAATGTAACTCAAACACAAAGGAACTCAACTGCCACACGCATGTCACTTTAGAACTTAGGGGCTACTTTAGGAACCGAAAGCAACCGTAAGCCGAGCTAATCCAATCTCAAACCAACGCAACCTTACCTCAAATCAAACCAATTATAATCCCAAAGTAAACCAACCTAACTCTAAATCAACGCGATTCATCTTCAAAACGAGTTAATCTAAACCAAGAAGGATTATATTCTTCTAGAATTAGAAAAGGAAATTCGACTCCAATGCAAGCCAACCATTTGATCAATCAATTGATTATTAGCGATCGTTTATTATATTACGATTCGATTACTTTAGGAAATCTGAAGTAATATAATCAGTCTTGCGTGAATCGAGTTATTAATACAATAAGAATAAGTATCCAGAATAGTTGTAAATTCTGTAAGGCGACAACCTTGTTTTAGCGTCAGGGAGTCTGAATCTCAATATGAATTATCTAGACTGGCGTTCACCGCATACTGCAATCTGATTTGCTCTTTAAGGTCTAAAAATTCAGCTGTAAAGCCTCAGCTTAGGCCCACTTTCAACAGTCTGGGGAATAGTTAATTTAATACCATGGTTATAGTGGTTTTAAACGCTCTCATTGCCTAAGAGCTGGATTTATAAATTTGTCAAGAGGTGGTAAAAGTGGGCCTTAATCTGGCAAAAAATAACGTTCTCAGATATGTTATCTAATGTCTACCACATATGACCTATTATAATTATTCTTGTTTATAATAAAAATCTTTCTTATTTAACAATAGTTAATATTGATATTGTAATTATCAATATTAGTAATTATTGAGTTTTATTTTTAATTTTTTTAACCAACTTTTAGACAGCCTGTACTTTAAAATGATTACCTAACTGAGTTTGTATAATCACATAAATTACAAATTTGCAACAATAGAGTGGGAAGGTCAATTATTACCGTTCCACCATGAAATAATCAAGGTGTGGTGAAACAATAGCTTTTCAAATAACAACGGAAGCAAAAATAAACAAAAAATGCGGTAATAAACTTATTTTTTTTACCTCGATATCGCTTCTTGTGCAGAACTCGTTCAAACTTTGGATCCAAACTTGAAGTAATTCATTCACAATAACCATATCACTGTATAACCATTGAAACACATCATTTATCCATAAAACACTAACGTTATCTGCACCTGTGCACATAGGAGCCGGAATATATCGAGTTTTTTTAAGATCAGCTGGAGCTGGTGATTGTCTTGTTAATCGTCTTCTTGCTGTCGGTGTTGATGGGACCGCTCCACCTTTACTTTTCGGTAAACTTGAAGATTTTTTTAATGACACCAGTGGTTTTTCGATAGATTTTTCTAAATCGTTGGTTGCTGATGCTGAATTAGAGGTTAAAGCCAAATCATCTTTGCTTATTACTTCGGTAATTTTCGGTTTGCTAACGATTTCCGTTGCTGATTTCTTGTTACGACTCTCAAGGAATTTTGCGTAAAGGAACTTGCCAAGCCAGAGAAGGCCGAAAGCTACCAGGATCCAGCCGAAAATGAACATGGCCAGAGTATCCATGGTTGTATTTGAGTAGGAATCGAAGGTACAGATTAGATCGTCCACATTTTCCGCTTGATCTTCCATATCACACCGCCATCGCGTTCAATCGAAGGTGGGAGAGATACTCCAAGCTACTCTTCATTGTAACCATCAAAAAAATCATTTCAAAAACCGTCTGGTGGTGTTCTCCATTTAGTGGCGAGGTGCCGGGAACGACTGCGAACCGCCTCCCTGAGAATAGAACGAATAGAGGAGAGACTTAGATATTTTTGTTATTTTTATTTATTTTTTTTTTTCGTTCGTTAGCGAGAAGGACGAGTGTATGAGATCGAGGAGAACCAAAAATACGACTCCTCCCGGTCGTACCGCTGGGGAGCGCCGCAGTGGACATTATAAATATAACTACACCAAGTGTTCCACATTTTGCCGGATCGCACGGTCTTGGAATAGGTAAAGTGAACGCGAGGTGATTCACGTTTTAAGATAACGTGCTCTCTCTTCAATATTACACTCGAAATTCTAAGTAAGAGTTTATTAGTTATGCTCTAGATGTTTATCAGTAGTGTGTATGTAAACTTTTTACTTTTTTATTTATGTACATAGATGTTTGTGATTGTTAACGTTATAACGTAAAAATTAAAAAAGAATTACATAATTGATATGATTAGTTTAAAATCCCAAAATGGACCATTTATGTTTAAGTTTTGAACTTATTTAACTAATTTTTATAATTGAACAGAAAATGTCGTATCAGCTTATCCAGAGACGGATAACGCAATGGTAGCAAGTAGCAAGCCAGCCAGCTCCTTTGAATCGCTAATATTTTTATTTTTTTTCAATACGAGTTATTATTATGAGTTTATCCAGCGCTAAAACTGCCTCCCCAGTTGTTAAATATCTTTTGAAAAAACTCGAAATGCCAAGGATTTTAAAATTGTCAAAACAAATGTCATTATAACCAAAAGCGATGCTAAATTAGCTGCAATTACATTAATTTATTTTTAATTTATTTCAATTTTTTTAATAGTCAAATATGTATAAAATAGTAGTAATTAGTATCATCGGGAACGAAAAAAGCTACGATTGAAACTTGAAATGTCAACTATTTTAAAATAGTCAAAAATGGAGACAAATCCAAAAGTGAAGTGAAATTAGCGGCAACTTAATTAAGATTTATTTAATTAATTACTTTAATTTATTTTTAAATATATTAAATTTTACCTAAAACCTACAAATTAACCATCACTGAACCAATTCAATGCAATTTCCTAAATAAATTTAAAATCATTTAACGAAAACATTATTTTAAATTAACATTATATTTGAAATAATTTATAGATGTAATAAAAATTGAAATATTTAAAATGATTTATTATTACAAAGAGAAAATAAAACCTTTTATCAACTTAATCTTATCACAACTTTTATTATTTTTTTCTTAAAGCCGTTAAGACCAGATCTTTTTACGTTAAAAACGTTTTTTCAACATTAATCATAATATATTCATATAATAACGTTTTCTTTAGGTTATCATATGCAAATTACTGGAATATGGAGACAGTTTTGTCGACGACATTGACATAATTTCTATATTTAAATGTTCACACAATATCGTATTTAGTAACAACTTTAAGATTATGTAAAACAACATTGACTTAATACAAATTTGTTAATAATTTATTGTAAACATGTACTTTATTAATGAAATAATAAAACATTCAATCTTTTTTGTGATTATATATTTTTTTAAATCTTTTAAAATATCTATATCGTATGTCACGACTATATTTGGCCCCTTCCGTGTCTGTCGACAAAACGTCTGGGGAGCACATCACAAACATCTGTACGAGTACAAAATAATCAATAACGTGAATACCTTAATTGCGCCACCTTTATTTATTAACATCATTTTGTATCTTATCCTTATTTAATTAAAGTCCCCTTAAAATAAGTCATCAACATCAATCAATATTTACCTATACCTTTTTTTCAAAAAAACCCTTAAATGTTCACTTAAAATCTCACTGACACATCAAGGTTTATTTTTTCTAATAAATAAATTAATCCCACGACATACGTTGTATACAAAATACGCACATGTTCGTTCGTTTTATTTAGCCTTGCGGCATTTAACGCGGATTTCTGGTGACACGAACCGCATCAGCAGGACGAGTCGATACAGTGTCGATATTGGAGTGTGCAGGTTCTCTTCTCCCCCACCTTGTGTTTCGGACGACAGCAAGAAAGGCAGGAGTTCTCAAACTGTACGGATTAAAATTTTATCAATTGCGGTACCGTTAGTTTATTACATACTTTATTAAAGGAATGTAAAGTGAGTTTGTATGGGTTTGCAACGTTCTCATACGAATCACATCTGTTATTAATAAAACAATTTAGATAACAGGCATTATTTTTCTTTGAAAAAATTTTTTCATTGTTGTTCCCATGAATAAAATTTTATGTATCAAAGAAATGTTTGTTTGTGCTAAATCGTCTATCATCAATTATTTATCGTCAATTTTTAATCCTATCATCATTAACTCATTACTACGGTTAGAACCATGAATAATGACACAACCTCGGTTGAATCCCATGCAAAAAAATAATGCAACAATACAATAGACTAAACAACCCAGCGAACTATCAAATCAACATATTACGAAAAGGAGTTAGCAGTTTATTATCTAACTGGCCGGATAAAAACATACATAAAAGCAGAAGGTACTTGTTATGTCTATAACATCTAGACATAACAAGTACCTTGCATATTATATTGGGTGTTCTTATATATAAACTGCAATTTTGAGTGCCCAAAGAACCGTATGAACCCGAGGACGTAAGGCGAGTTTCAAAAGTCGGAAAGAACTGTATCCTTTCGGCTACATTCCCGATATGGGAATGTGATATATTGCTAGAGTAGGCATTAAAGGACTTTGAATTAGTCTCACCGAGACGAAGAGGTTGAGAGCAAAGCCTAGGTACTCGATGAAGTACACAGTCCACCAGGGTACGAGTTTTGAGAAAAAAGATCTTGCTCTTTCTACTATTTCAGGTAGTCCATTTAGGGCTGCAGCAGAGTGTTGGCAGTTACCGAACGGAGATAAGAAAACAGCATATCCGTAATCATGAGGTCAGAAGGTGCACAAATAGAGTCTACCATACACTACAGCGGAGATAATAGAGACAATAATTGAAATGCGGGATGCCATAAAGGCCTTAGGAGAGTCTCCAACCTTCACAATTCCTTTTGATTGTAACATTCACATAGCCATAAATTTTGCCTGTTGAATTTCTAGGATGAGTGATAGTGAATTTCTTTACGTCAATTGACATTTAGATGTACAGATTACAGAAAAATCAATAGAATTCAATAAACCCGTCTTTCTCCGCTTCGACGACTCAATTAAAGCCGTTGATCGAGTTAAGAAAGAATATACCGGAACAGATAATAGATGTTATATACACTAACACTACCACTAAAATAAAAACCACCCAAGGCGAACTGAAGACATATCTGTTAGCGAAAGTGTTAAACAAGGGGATTCACTAAGTTCCTTCTTATTTAACCTACTGTATTAGTGTTTAGCCGTCTTGAGAGACGCATTGCAAAATCCGAATGTTTCTTGTTGTAGTGGTAATTTATTATTCAGCGTTAGGTTGTTACGTATTTTTATTGAACTAAAACTAGAACTAACACTAGACCTAGAAGTAAAAACGTTTGGGGTGTGTCTCAAGACTGTTTGTAGTTTAGCAGTGCTATTCTAGACATCTTAACACAACGTAATTTTACAATTAGTTCTAGGCTCTAATAACTGTAATTCCGCACATTTTTTTTGCAATTTAGAGTTTACTCAATCAATCGATTCTACATTTTAATTTCAAATCCAAACATTACAATCAAGTTTTCATTCATCTTTTCATTCAGTAAACAAAAATTTAGTTATAAAATCACCAACAAAAATTATTTTATTGCAAACAAAAAACACAAAATAATTTAATTATTTACAAATTTATTTAAATAAATGTCATCGCTTTTGGTAGATGCAATTAATCCATTTTCATGTATGTGATTACTATCATACCCATAATCGATTAAATTCCCTTTTAAATCAACCATTTTTCCACCGAGCGCATCAAGTATAGCATTTCCAGCGCAAATATCCCATTTTTTTATGTTTGTTGTGTGTATATAAACATCGTTTTCACCCTTTACCACTTCTAATACTTTATAACCTATAAAAAAATTATTTCAAAATAAATCTTTACAAATAAATTTAATTAACTTGACCTGCCCCTCCCGCTGTTGTTATTTTAAAATTCTTTAATTGACTAGATTTAATCATTTCTTCAACGGCACCTTTATGTGATCTTGATACGATTATCTTTATAAAATCGTCCGATTTAGCTTTAACTTGTATGTTTTTATCAGATAATCCAACACCGACCCATCCCCAGTACCACTTTTTAATTAATGGTTGATAAATAACACCAATAACAGCCCTATTTTTAACGGCAACACAAACCATTGTAGTTACATAATGTAATAAGCCCTCTAAAAAACGTAATATTATATCAATTTCACTTTTATTTTTTAAATACCAGTAAATTCTTGTGTAGCATCTAAAGGATCAATCCAAACAGTAACATCATCTACTGGAACGTTAACATCAACTAACTCATCAATTTCCGATAATTTAATTATTCTATCACTACCAGTATAATCACATTTATCTACAGCTTCCTCTGATATCACACGAATTCTTTTATCGTACGATTTTATAGTCCCCATCATAACACAGTGTGATTTTAAATCAGCCATAGTCACAGAATCGTTAGCACCTTCTTTCGTTTTACCTTTACTTCTAATATCATTAGTATTTTTGTATTTGAGCACTTCCAAACCACCCTCGTTAGCTGCCAGTATCGACGTTTGAAGTAATTCTTTTAAATTAATTGTTCTAATGTTGTTCATTGATGATGTGTCCCTCAAGAAAGCATAATAAAAAATTAATAAAAAACCTATTGCAAATATTGCTATTCCAGTTTTATTTAAGTGTACTGTCCCTGCTAAATTCATCGTAAGATCACGTTTATATTATTTTATGAGCATAAATATGTAGATAATGACACGTATACATATAATTTTTAGTATTTTATAAATTTGTAGGTTAGAATTGATTAGAACACGCAGCAAATTAATTAAGTTGGGAATAATTTAACACGTGTTTTCTTTAATTAATATTTATTTAATTTTTAATGATTAATTTATTTGCCCGAATAGGGATAAGAAAAATGATTATTTTTCTTGGGTTATAAAGTTTATTTTGACATTTGATATGTAATACTAATAAATAAAATGAAGTTAGTTTCTGGTTAGTTTCATCAACGGTGATAAAGATTTAATCAATATATAAAAATTATTTAATACAATCAACAATTATAAAAAATAACCTAATTTTCTTAATTTTTATTTAATTAATTATAATAACCAAAAAATATTAACAAATTGTCATGTTTTGCATTGACATAAAAATAAAATGAAGTTAGGTAAAAAATGTTTAATCGAAATAAGCGGTTTTAGTTTCAAAAATTATTATTAATAACCTCAAAATACTTCAAAATTAATTATGGCTTCTTATATATGAATTTAAAAAAAAGATGTAAATTATTTCACTTTTATTTATTTTTTGGAGAATGAAATGAAGTTAGGTTAAATTTAAACGTCAAAATTCAAGGTTGAAATTTTAATAGGTAAACTGGATTATCTCAAGTCTATTATTATTTTTATTCCATTGTTCGTTTTGATTCGTTTAAACTTACACGGATCGTTCATCGATTCCGTTTTTAATTCAATTACGACCATAAAATTCACTGAACGGTGACGTTTTGGAATGACATAAAAACAAAAAGTCAAAATGGCAGGAATGTCTCCCTCTGAAGTAAGTTTTCAATGTTTTTTCAACAGAATTTAAACTATTTCTTTGTTAATTCGATTCAATTACATAAAAAATAACAACTTCATTAAGTATTCTTTATGTTATAACCATCAAACAATTAGCTTTGTTGTAAAAAAGTGCCTACATGAACGTTTGCTTGATTTATCAACTTACAGAGAAGACTTCAAAAGGAATTGATGTCTTTAATGAAAGAACCACCACCGGGAGTATCTGTGGATGTTGATTTGACAGGACAAAATTTATTACAGTGTGTTAATAGGAAGGGTTATGTAAATTTTATTTAAAAATATTATTTTAGGTGGATTGTTCATATGGAGGGTGTTAACGGAACGCTTTATGAGGGTGAAAGTTTTCAATTACAGTTCAAATTCACCAATAAATATCCTTTTGATTCGCCAGAGGTAAGCTTAAAAAAAGTTGTTTTTCTTTTATTTTATTTATATTTTATTTATCTGCTGTTTATGTAAAACCTTGACTCATTAACAAAGAATTTATCTTGTTTTATAGATAATTATTTTTTTAAAATTTATTACTCCGAATAATAAATTAAAATGTTATTGTTTCCTTTATTAAGGAAAAAAAGTTTGGTTATGATAAATGGATATATCAACAATGCCAACTTAATTAGTTTAAAAATAAAAAAACCAAAAATATTTTTTTTTAATAAATCATTAAAAAATGCGTTTTAACATTTTTAAAGGTAACATTTATTGGAAACAATATCCCAGTTCATCCACATGTATATAGTAATGGTCACATTTGCCTTTCAATATTAACGGATGATTGGTCACCAGCACTTTCCGTTCAATCAGTATGTTTATCGATTGTGTCCATGCTCAGTAGTTGCAAAGAAAAGGTAATAATGAATTAAAAATAAATGATTTTAAAGTGAACATTTTTGTGAATATTTATAGAAAAGGCCTCCCGATAATGCTTTTTATGTAAAAACTTGTAGTAAAAACCCAAAGAAAACGAAATGGTGGTATCACGGTAAGTTTAATTAAATACAATTAACAATATCTTTTTATAATTTTTGTTTATTTTAGATGACTCGGTATAATATTGAACACAAAAAAGAGGAAAAAGAATACAGAAAAAAGAAATAATGTGATTATTTATGAATTCCTTAATATGTAAAATAACACATATTTACATTGTTTAAAGTAGGTTAAGCTTATAAGTACGTACTTGAATGTGAATTACTTAAATGAAATGAAAAAGAAAAATCGAAAATTGTGGTAAAAAAATTTTATTGTTATTCTCTTTTCTCGATCGGACGTAGAAAAGATGAAATTACGAAGAAATAAGAAATATTTCCTGCCATATGTAACTGTTATTTATGTGAATTTGTGAATTTAAAGTTTTCCTTTTTTCTTTATAACACATAATAGGGCGTTTTTATTTTTTTTAGAATGCAATTTGTTAAGATTCAATTACTCAATAATTAATAAAAGAAAATTAGAGACGGTTTCAACATAGATTAGATAAAAACAATTTTTACATCTAATACGCTTTTTTATTTCAAACGATAACCTATTTTGAAGCGAATGGTTTATTTTGTTGTTAACTTCAAGATTGTCAGAAGAATTTGAAATCATTTGTATAAATCTATCGGAACGAATCTCGGAGTAGCTATAAAACTATATGCGACATGGTGAAGAGCAAAACCAGCTGTATGAGGTGACGAAAGAAGCTCGAACGAATCAGCCAAATTGCGCAAATTCAACTTGGTGGTGAGCCAAGGTCCATTGAGTATTGGTTATAAGGTTATCCAACTCGAACAAATTAACGTTGACGGCGTGAGGTGGGAAACATAACGTCATTGGAGGAAAAATATAACAATTTATGTTAATAATTATTTAAAAATTAAACAAGTGTTATTAAACTCAAGAAATAAAGAGTTTGTGTTGGTTTACGTATATAAATGAAAACAAAGAAATGACAATTCTTCCAATGACGTCACAACAGCGTTCACAGGGAGTTGGATAACCTTATACAGTATGTTTACTCAACTGACCTTGGTGGTGAACAATGAACATGAGGTGGTTGTCTCTTATCAGGACAAATAGGTTAAGTACAGGTATCCCAAATTCGTTGTTCGCATAGGTAACCTCCGAAACCAAAAGAGATAGAAAAAAAGTAGCTTACATGTCATGATCTCGTTTTGCGAGAAACTCAGAATAGCTATCGTCTTTTGTTTTCGGCCTATCGGCAAAAACTGAAAAATTTGCGAAAGCGACAAATGCGTGTATCTCACTTATTACCAAAGATGAAGTATTATAATTAAAACATTGTATGGGCAACATTTTACAAAGAATTCAGTGGTGTAGGTGGATTTTCTTCTCAATGATTTATTTTCGAGATTTTACAAGTAACTTTATTTTTTAAATACATATAATGGGGCCGTTACAATTTTTTTTATTGGCTTATTCGATAGTTTAGCAAAATTGAAGACTTCTATAATTTTTTATTTTTCAAACGGCTTTAATTTTTCCAAAAAAAAAAAAAATAATGAAAATTTGAAAACACTTTGGAGACGTCACCGTCGCTTCGCACGTGGTTGGTCGAAATAAAAATCAACAAATCTGCATGAGCGCTAGAAGAAGAGATCCGAACGATGCACATTTGTGTCTTCTTGATCTTACGCGACAACTTCGGATTTTGAATTTTAATATTAATTATTGCAAAAATTAAACAATTTTAGGATCTGAAAATGTTACTAATCCTTCTATTTTTACATAGTTTATCGATTTTTTGAAAGACGGTCTTTCTATGCGATTGAGGGTAACGACCCCATTGGCTAAACCTCTAAAATAATTGGATATTTTTTCTGAATAAATATAACATAAAAGGGATGAAATTCTCCATATTTCTCTAATATAAATATAACATAACCTGGAAGCTGTCAATTCTTGATATGATTAAGTTTAAAATGATATTTTATAACGTTGTAATAAATAATAACAGCGTTAATAACCTTATTTTTAACGGCAAATTTAATAACAGAGAAAATAAAGGTTTTGAAAGTGCAAGGTAATTATCATCGCGTTTTTGCTCCGTTACTTTAAGGTTAAACTTCATTATCTCTATTATTTTTGCGCTAATAATCGATCGCTTCCGCTTTTTGTAATAAGGTTAGAGTCCTAATACGCACAGACGATCATTTTTAACGTTTCTCAACTAAATTTTTTTCCACTTTAACGATTTCTTACACAGGAAGTTGTTTTATCTATTTAAATTGTTGGTAATAAGGTTATATAAACTTCCGTTATTTAAAAATTAACTCTCTTAATTTAATTCGTTTTAAAACAAACTTTATGAAGATTTAACGAACCTATTTGGGTCTTAAATTACACAAAAACCTTTGATATTGCAATAAGTAATTTAAATTGCTTCATTCTCCTCCGCTTTCTAAAACAAAATACAACAAACAGAAAAGCTTTTTATAATCACACTAAATTATCAACACCGTTAAGGTGATTAACCCATTAGTGCATAGTGTCCCTTTTAAGGGACGTTTTGCAAAAAATGTTTTTTCTAAAAAAATTACTAAAAATTACTACTTTTGATATAATAGATAATAAAATGAAAGAAAAATACAACAAAAAATATTTAACTTTATGCACTCATGGGTTAATAACGTTCTTAAATATTCCAATTCAATTTCCAGGAAATTACTCACATGACGAATGTATTTTGAAAATCCCCAAGCCTCAATCTACTTGATGACGTCGCGGCTTCCGTTTAATTTCATTCCCGTCACCTTCCGACGAAGAAGAATGGAAAAAACGAAAACGAAACTAAACCGCAAGGCCTCGCGTCGATGGCTTCATAAACCACCTGAATCGACGGCTACCGTTCAGAAAATACCTAAACGCCACCAACTACGTTTAAATTTAAATTCAAAGATGCCTTCAGACAATCTTTTAATAACCAGTGAAGATCCAGTTTCCTCCGGGGTTTCCTCCGAAGACGACGACGTCGGACATCAAAAAGAATTATCATTAAAAAAAGATGTTTTATCCAATTTTGAGAGTCTCCCGGATAAAAATAAGCACGAAACGTTTTTGAAAGATTGCGTCGATTTGTTGCTAAAAGAAGCGGTTTTTCATGGTACAGATCGGGAAAATAAAGTGTTGGATTGGAAAAGTCCCGAGGAATTATTGGAAATCTTTGATTTTAATTTAAACGGATCGCCATCGACTCACGAAGAATTAAAATCAATTCTTAAAAACGTCGTTAAGTTTTCGGTGAAAACTGGACATCCATATTTTGTAAATCAACTTTTTTCATCTTTGGATCCGTACGGTTTAATTGGACAATGGTTAACAGACGCTTTAAATCCAAGCGTTTACACTTACGAAGTCTCGCCAGTTTTTACTTTAATGGAAGAAGTCGTTTTAAAAGAAATGAGAATTATCGTTGGGTATAAAGATGGTAAAGGTGATGGTATTTTTTGTCCAGGTGGTTCTATGGCTAACGGATATGCTATTAGTTGTGCAAGATACAAATTTAATCCAAATTTAAAGGTAAGTCATAAATTTTAAAATGTCAATTTAAATGACAACATGAAATTGTCATAAAGTATGTAAAATATAACTTTTAGGTTAAAAATTTTGTTTTTTCCCCATAATTGTATGATCAGTCAAGTATAACATCATTTTTAAAGCTGATCCAAATAAATATTAAAAATGTCATGTTCACATCATTATTACAAGATTAAAGCTGTCATCTTGACAATTAATGTCATTTTCTCATTTTGACGTTTTAAACGTCACTTTAATATAATTTTATTCTTTAATTAGGAAACTGGTCTTCATAACTTTCCACGTTTAGTCCTTTTTACATCGGAAGATGCTCATTACTCGGTTAAAAAGATGGCTTCTTTCCTGGGGATTGGCACAAAAAACGTTTACACAATAAAAACCGACGATAAAGGAAAAATCAATGTTGATTTACTTAAAAATGAGATTGAAAGGGTGAAATCGGAAGGTGGTGTTCCGTTTATGGTTAGTGCAACGGCTGGGACGACGGTTTTGGGTGCTTTTGATCCTATAAATGACCTGGCGGATGTTTGCGAAGAACATAACTTGTGGTTGCATGTTGATGCGGCTTGGGGAGGTGGTGCATTAATTTCTGAAAAGTACAAAAATCTCATGAAAGGAATTCATCGGTGAGTATTTTTTTGTTAGGTTACGTTATCGTTTAATGGAATTAAATTGTGCAAGGTTAAATCACAAACGATATAATAATTAGAGCGTAAATTAAAGTTTCTTCAGCCTTGTTTTGATCATTTAACCTTGAAAAAATGGCTTTTAATTTTCTTTTTTGCGTAATTCCCCCAGGGTTGTTTCTTCTACTTTTCTAAATCGATAAGCAAGGTTTCTACAATCACCTACGCTTGAATTGCATTGCGAAAGATATAAAATTAATTATTATATCTAATAACCTTGTGAAAACTTTTTGGAGTTGTAAATTTGATATTCTTGATGGTAATTAGCGCCATCTCTTAGATTCAAGCTTAATTATTTATTATTCCAAATTTTCTTTTGTATTTATTAATATATTTAAATATTTAAAATGTGACTTAATAGTTTAAAGTGATAAATATTTAATTCACATAAATCATCCTTGTTTTTATTAAGATTAGGAATTTTTCAAAAATCGATTGGCGCCATCTCTTAAATTTTCTTCTAATTTAATCTAACATAACCTACAAATATTAATTAATTTAAATTATTTTTTAGTGCTGATTCAATAACTTGGAATCCCCACAAACTATTAACAGCCCCTCAACAATGTTCCACATTACTATTAAAACACGAAGGAATTTTAAGTGGAGCTCACTCGGCGAATGCTGCTTATTTATTTCAAAAAGATAAATTTTACGATACCAGTTATGATACCGGTGATAAACACGTTCAATGTGGACGAAGAGCTGATGTGCTTAAATTTTGGTATATGTGGAAAGCGAAAGGAACCCACGGTTTAACCCGACATGTTGAAAAAGTTTTTGATAACGCTGAATATTTCACAAAAACGATAAAATCAAAGGAAAACTTTAAAATGGTGCTTGAAGAACCTGAATGTACAAACGTATGTTTTTGGTACGTCCCCCCCAGTTTGTTGGGTAAAGAAAACGAAGATGATTATGAGGAAAAGCTTCATAAGATTGCTCCGAAAATTAAAGAGAGAATGATGAAGGATGGTTCTATGATGGTTACGTATCAAGCCCAAAAAGATTGGCCTAACTTTTTTAGGATCGTTTTTCAAAATTCAGCATTAACTCACGATGATATGATGCATTTTATACAAACGATTGAAAGATTAGGATGTGATTTATAATTAATAACTATTTATGACTTAAATTAAATTGTAAAAATAAAAAATGTTTGATTTCTTATTATATCTTTTTTTATTTTCATCCATTCAACAATACAATCAGAACAGAAAAGGAGAAAAATATCACAAAAAATAAAATAAAGGATACACTTCAATATAATTATTTATATTCTCTATATTTTTACGCTTGTTTATAAGCATAAAATTGCCATCGGCGTTCAATATTAGCTCCGATCCCCACAAGTTCTTGTTTAAAGACTGCGGGAAACTTGGACATTAATAATTCGATATCGGCAGGTCGTAAATTTGTTTCTAATTTACTAACATACGACCAAATATAATCTAAGCCGGCTCCGAAAGGATGGACGTTAAGAAACGTTGAGATAATCCCTATTAACTTCGCTTCCTTTTCAGATAAAGGTTGTGTGGAAATCGTTTCTAAACTTTCATTAATACTACATACACTTTCAGCTTTATCAGATTCATTATCTTCCAAATTAACGATATTGTTATCGATTTGTGATTTTTTTTCTTTTGATATTTTTAATTGGAGCTCTTTTACTTTGGTTTCTTCTTCAATTTGTTTACGTTTAGCTTCTATTAATTGTTGTTGCATCCCTTGTAAGGTTTGTTGAAGCATTTTAAATTGTTTATCTTTTTCATCAATATCTTTTTTTAAATCCATTTTAACAACTTCAACCTATAAATTTTATATAAATAAAAATATTATACACTTATATTCATTCGTAATTTCACCTCATTTTTATAAGCTTCAACTTGCATGCGTAAATTATTATTTTCCTCCCTAAGTACGTCTTCTTGATTAATCATATCAGTTCTGGGTTTTTTCCTAATTGTTTCTTCTTCATCGGAAACGTCCATTTCATCATCGGCTTTTTCAACGCTTATTTCGCCATCAAGTTGAACATTTTTTATCTCCTAAAATCCAAGGGACGTATTAACACAAATAAATAAAACGACAACATTCTAAATCAACATTATTAGATAGTACAAAAAAAAATTAAATAAAAAATAAAACCGCTAAAGAACAATACATTACTATATTCACGTCAAAGAATTTTTGTTCTTTTTAATTTTTTTTAGTAAATGAATTTAAGTTGGTACAGTTGTTTTCTAAACAAATTCTTGGTTAAATGCATTTACTACTTTATTGTTATAGCCAATCCTCAGCACATTTTGACGCTCCAAATAACGGTTTTTCCAATTGCAATCAGCGACCCGACCCAATCTGTAGATCTCTCATTTTAACACTTACCTTTCCATTTCTTACCTTTATGTTTACGATTTCACTGTTATTTGCTTCATGATTGATTAGACCGTGCCATTACAAGAAGTATTTGATAACATCCACTTTGATTTATTATTTATGTTTATTTCAAGAATTAACAGGTGTGTTAAAAGTACTCGCACAATATTTACTTATCTTTAAAAATTAAAAAACATTGATTTGGAGGCGCCAACTATTAAAATCTATTAAGAAAGGGTTAAATTGGGCTAGAACTAATCGATAAATAGATTTACTGAATGTAAAGTTATTATTTTGCATTGTGGTTACTTTGCGCACGTAAATAAAACGACGTTGGCAGATTGTTGGTTAAATGATTTAAAAATATTGACAGGATGCTAATGGCGATGCTGAGTTGTTAGAAATAATATTTAGGATAGCCTGGAACGTTATCCTGTTCATAACAGGAACGTTGAGTGAACGAGAATGAGTGTCTGAAGTAGAAGTCTACAGGAATACATTTTTATCGTGATTTTATGTGCTTACTTTGAACCTATTATCTGCCTAATTGGCACTTCTAGTTAAGTAGGAGATGCAGCATAACACCGAGCTGTGTGTACGTACAGCTCGGCGTAGTGTGTACAAAATTTTTTGAACCAGTAAGAGTGGCAACAATATTTCTAATTAGTATCCTAGAGCGTTCACGTTTTCAGGTTTACATTAGTTTACGATATATTTCCTCTTATTTCCTTGAAATATTTATTCTACTGACGTTCTTGTAAATTTCCGGTTGACAACAGGTGCTGATCATCGAGTAGCTTGGGAGTTGCGGTGAGATGTAAAGTTAGACTAGCTCTGTTAGATTGTCTAGAGTAAAAAAAGTGAAACCGTTCACAGACCCAAAGTTTTGCCTCGGAACAAGATTACGATACGATAAGAAAGCAAGATACGGTGATGACCAACGCAAGAATTTGGAACACGAGTAATGAAATAGCGACACAAAGGCAAGGTATCGGTCAATAAGAGTGCTTAAAACCGCTGTAACCGCGGTAATTATCCCCTACTGTATATCGACTGAAACAAAATCAAGAATATATACGGTATGAGTGAGCAAACAAGTGGTGGAGAGAGTGGTTAATACGCGCAAAATTTTGAAATTATTATATTTCCCAGGATAATCTTAAACCTGTTTTAGAAGGTTGGGTGTACATCAATCTATAAATTGCCCGTTTTTTATTTTTGACACACTTTGACAACAAATCAAAATTTCATCAGATTACATCACCACTTTAAAGTTTAACGGAATGAATTAGATTTCTTGTTAACAGATATTTACTACAATTTATTTGAATTGGCAGATGATGAGTAAAAGACAGAATTAATATGAGTTAAGATAACTTATAATAACTTTTCAACACCCTGTATTAATCATAAACAATTATTTAATCAACAAATTAAGATGAATATCATAACTTATTAGGTTGTTATCAAAATCCTCTTGTAATAAATAATCATAACTATATCCCAAAAGGAAAATTTTGTTGACCAAAAAAATAAAAAAAAATATAATCGGAAGAATTTTCGATTTAAGATTTCGCACTGTTTTTCTTTAAGCTTGTTTTTTTGAGAACTGGAAATCTTAGCCTACAGGCATGCAAAGAGAATCCGCAAGCTTTACAAATAACACTTTTTAACATCTTTAAAAACATTAAAACAATTTATTTTTATTACATGATTTCTTATAGAAAATTCAGTGTATCTTTACACTTAAATTTGTAAATCTTGCGGTGTATTACGTACCATCGATTGCTTTTTCCACAGTTCAATGTTCTTTCTTTGCGCTTTGGTGAAATGGTCCCAAACCTTCTTATGGCAGGCGGCCGAGAACAAACGCTCGATTTGACTGACTGAGACAGGGACACGCAAACAAATGATTAAACCATCTTAGATCATTATAGATCTCCTGCGCGCGGTTTATTTTATAATAAATAATTACATTTGTAACGAGAAACAAAAGAAAGTAATCCCCCCAATATCATACTAAATCATTATTGTAAAGAACACAAAAAGTGAAATAAAAGAAATTATTTTGGAGATAAATTAAAAAAAAAAAAAAAGCAGAAAATAAAAAAAAATAATTTACCTATTCGTTTTTTAACCTGTTTTGGTTCTTACTTCTATCTAAAGAGCTTGAACACTGGTTTTTGTACAAAAATTGGAACAAGTTTTAATTTGATTAGATTAGATATTTAATTTTTATTACCACCATCGCTTTTAATCAATTTAATAATGAAAGTTACAATTAATACGAAAAATCAGTGTACACACTTCAAAAAATACATCAGAATTTATCTCTAATAAATAAAAAAAAATTTAAATACACATTTGTCCCCAGAAGATATCTCGTTTTGTCCGATATACTTACTACACATTAATCGTACCAATTTATGAAAAAAAATGATAATCTCCTAGCTAATAACAAACATAAACTTACATTGTAATAAAATCCCCTGCATCCGTCCTTTCATTATTTCCCGAGCCTTCATCAATTCATCTTCGTATTGAGTTTTTTCATTAAGTAGTCTTCGAACATGCGAATTCGTCGATTGGATCATCGAATAAAAAGTATTTGCGTTTCTTTTACTGCAATCCCCTCGTTCTAACCATGTTATCACAATCTGCAATAACAAATCAAACTTTAATCTTTCCTAACACAGCTTTGGTAAAACAATCATGTTTTTTAATTTAAAAATTAAATTAATTTAAAATAGTTTTATTTAAAAAAGCTCAAATCATTGATTTTAAATTTTATTAATATTGATTAATAAAAAGTAAATTAATGAAAAAGTTTCTAACCTATAAATTTTTTGCAATGTCAAATTTTTTTTTTGTAAGTCCTTTCAGTGTTAATTAAAATGTTAATTTAAATTAATTATAATTTTAAGTTAATTTAAAAAAAAATTAGAATAAAATTAGTTTTTAAAAAATAATTTAGGCCATCTCTTGACAAACGAAAACAGTAATTTCGCAAGAACCCTTCACCTTTAACACAACTTTTGGGCTAATTAAACTTTGTAAACAAATAAATTGAATATAAAGTATTTTCGTTTCATTTACTGCATTTACTGCTAACAAATCAAACTTTGAACTTTTTTAAATAATGAATTATAACCTGCACAGCTTTCGTAAAAGTATCATCTTGCTTTAATTTCTCAGAAACAGCCGAAGCTTCATGATCTGTATAATGTACAACTGGTGGTGGTGATGGTGGTCTTAATCGCTCCTCTTCCATTCGTTCTCGGTGCCGTTGTTCTCTTTGTAATTGCCGTTGTCTACATTCCCATTCATATTGGTCATCTCTCGCCTTAAAAACAGTTATTAAACAAAAATAATTAATTAAAAATAAATTACCTGAGCATAATCAACATGTAAACGTCCAGTATTTGGGGGATCATTATTAGAACCAATACGAATTCGATACCCAGAAAGAAAAATAGCTGAATCGATGGATGCTTCATAAACAAATCGGATATGACAAAAATTTTTTTTGCTTAAACGTAACGTAGTTATCTCTCCACAACGTTCAAAAACTTCGGTAATTATTTCTTCGGTCATATTCTCTGGGAGACCACCTACGAAAACTGTTCTACACCCCGGTGGCCTTTCTCGTGTAGTCGGAGGTGGGGCGTTTGGATTTGGGGGAAATAACGTACAACTCTTGCAATGTATAATTTCTTTAACTGGGTTAATAATAATACTTGGTTCTGTAGGAATAATATTCGGATCTGGTGCCATCATCGGAGGAATCATCCCGTAATTCCCCATCGACATCATATTTGGGTCCATAATCATATTTACACCAACCATCGGATAACCCATCCCCATAACTCCACCCCATACATTCGGAGGTATCCCGTTTTGAATGGGAATCACTTCCGGGGTATTAGAGAGGTTAGAATCGGAGTCATCACGAGTTTTATCAGATTCCCTTCGATCGCGTCTTGACCCTCGTTCCAATCGGCGATCTTTCCGTGATTTTTGAGGAGGACTTTGACTATTATCGTCTTTATTGTTATCTTCGACAACTACCTTGGAGGTGGTCGGGTTTGATTTTGAAACGAATTCTGCGGTGGTATCGTTCATTTTGTTACTAGTACCGAATGGATCGCGGAAGTCGATTGACTCAGAACCGCCGCCAACGAGAAAATTCTGCGGCCCTGTGCGGACATTTATTTTTAAACGTGAAAAATCAATATCGCCCTTGTATTCGCAGTCAGATCCGAGGCATATTGAATGAAACTTACCTAACTGGGATTGGCTTGTATAGTGAAACGCCATATCAATTAATCACGGATTTATACCTGATCTTTAATAATTTGTAAATTCACTTTAACGTATTTATAAATAAATTATCACACGCGGTCGAAACTCGAGACACAATTTTTCAATCGATATGTCATATCAATTTCATAAAAGCTTGTATATTTAATCAACAGCTTTATTTAAAAAAGCTCAATCTTTAATTTTACTAACATTGATTCATAAAAAGTAAATTAATAAAAACATTTCTAACCTATAAATTAAGTTTTTGTAATGTCAAAAATTATTTCTGTACTTATCAATTTCAATAAAAATATTATTTTAATTTCTGTTAATTTGAATTAACTAATTGAAATAAATTATCATTTTCAGTTAATTTAAAATAAATTAGAATAAAATAAGTTTTTAAAAATAATTCAAGTTGATAGCGCCATCTCTTGATGGCAAAAATCGGCAATTGTGGAAGAACCCTTCAAGGTTAACCGAAATTAATTGAAATTTCTCGCATTTCTACTATTAAATATCTGTTCCATAATTATACAATATATATGTGCATTGGTGTTAAGTCCAAACTTGTCATTATACCCTGATAAAAAATGATATTAAGTACTGTACCTAGAAGTAAGAGTTTTGTTTCTGTATTGTGTAATAGTTATTTATATATTAATATACACACGTAAAGTAACCTTAATTAATGGCAACATCCTAATAAAAAGTAAGAAAATATAAAATAATTAATCTATCTTTAATTTTTTGTATATTATAAACAACGTATATTCAGAAAAATATTTTAACTTTAAATAAAAATGCAAAAACTAGTGACGATGATGTCCTCTTCTATTCTGATACTGGCGGTTTTGATTGATTCTGATCATATGTGGACGTACACCATGCCCCACAATGTTCACAACCATATGAAACTAAAAGAAAAATTGTAACGTATTATAATATAATTACACTGTGCTGCAAACTTTAACTTTTTTTGTGTACAGTAGATCAGTTGACTGCTTTTAGTTTACTTTGGGTTGCTGATTTCAAATATGCCTCCCATTTTTTGTAACACGTCACGTATTCTTTTTTATTTAGGTTTCTCACGGCTGCGAGACTTAGGATTTTATAGGGAAACTATAGATGGTATTAATTTGACCTTTAACTACCACTAGTGTCATGTTTGTACCACTTCCGGTTACAACGGAAATTGTTACTAACATAACAATTTTTAAGAAAATTTTGAAATTTTATTTAGCTGTTGGTTACATAACATAATTCTAAATAACTGAAATTTTAAAATTTTCTGTAACCGTTTAGTGGTACAAACATGACACTACCACTAAAAGGTTGATCTCTTCACCTTATATCATGGTGCCAAATATTAAATTCATTGCATCTATAGTTTCCCTATAGTCTAAATCCTATGTCCAGCAGCAGTAAGACACCTGAGTAAAAAAAAAAAAAAGTGACGTGTTACAGAAAAATGGAAGGCATATTTGAAATCAGCAACGCAAAATATTTACTAAAAACACTCAACTCATCAACTGTACAAAAATCTTGCAGCACAGCGTTATTATAATAATAATTCAAAAACTTACACGTGCTTGGGGATCAACCTCGACATCATGTATTCCGGGCAATGGAGGTGGTGCTAGGCTTCTACGTTGATCGTAATGCTGGTGAACATCCTCAAGAGGATCAACTTTTAATTTATCATCTTTGGCGATTCCCAACTCTTCTTTTGCCATTTCGGCACCTTGCATAACTTGGTTTTCATGTAAAGTATTTGTATCGGAATAAAGAGGGCATAAGTGGAATTGATCGCCACCTTGGCCGTTAAAATGTTTATAATCTTTAACAGGAGCTAAACATACATAACACATTGATGCCCCGCAACTGCAGGTCATTTTATTGCAGCCGTCTTCTTTAATAAACTTCAAACCACATTTATAACACACTCTAAAAATAATTAATGTAGAATTCTTCTTAATTTTATTTGATTAATTTACCTAACCAACGCTTCAGTCATTTTATTTTCAATATAAATTCTTTTTTTAACATCGTCATCTTTCTCGATTTCATCGCACCTTAAAGGCACATGAGATGGTTCTTTACATTCGCGACAACTCTCTTTCATACATTCAGTATTGAGGCACTTGAATATCTTATCGCCGGGAGCAGGAATCGTAGCAAAATCACAAAACGGACAGGTTACAACATCATCTATTCCCGCTGCTTTTACTTCTTGTAATTGTTGACGTTGTGCGACTTTTGAAAAGAATTTTGGAACTAACGCATCCTATAAAATTATTAAATATATTAAAACGATTTCTTCTAAATATCAACAGATAAGCTAAGTGACTTTAAATCAAATCAACAACTAATATTAATTGTAAGACTATAACGGTGGAGCAGGGTCAAGAGTTGAAGATGACGTAGTTAGAAGACACAGTGAAATTAATTGGAGGTGCAAGATCAACAGAATAAATTGAGTTGTTAGCGGCATTTATCGAGAACCAAGGAATAACGAGAATTGAGATTAATGACAACAGGGAAGTCATAATATTGGAAGAAGACTGTAGTGGTTATTATAATTTAACCACTAACAATAAATAATGAATTAATTAAATTTGGATTTAATGTCTTTGGACGATGTTTCTGATGTTTTTTGAAGTTATATCCTAATTTATTTATATGGCAACAACAAATATATCATATAAAAACGGAATATATAAAAATAATAATTGGATTCAAAAAATAGATGCAAAACAATAACAAACGTAGGTTATGCTACAAAGACGTTATACGATGAATGGTGAACCGATTAAGTATGGATTCAACGTGTTAATCCACAGATTAACGAGTTTAATGAACATATAAAGATGACTTTACTGAATAGAAGACCTCATACATAGTATGTAAATCGATATAATTCAATATTTAAGAATGGTAGTAAACGTAATCCAGCGACATTGTGCATTTGAATGTTTTCAAGAAATTACACAAGAAACAACACATTTACTTTTGACGCGAACTGTATATTAAAATCATTACGAATTCATTAATTTTTACCTTTAACATTTTTATGGTAAAATTCACTTCACATCCAGCCAAACATGGAAAATCAGATTTCCCCTCATTAAACGCAATTTGCACACTAGTTTCAACGCAGCGTTTACAAAAATGACACCCATTTTCGCACATTACGCAATCTTTAGGCATAACTTCATCATCGTAACAGCAAGCGCAAGTTAACATTAAACCGTTCTTTTTGGCTTCTTCGCGTTCTAAAGTTTCTTGATGTTTTTTATCCTCAACTCGTTTTAAAATAGCGGCACGATTAGTTAAATAGGCAATCTAAAATTAATATTAATTAAAGCGGGATAAAAAAAAATATTTTTTAAGTCTTACTTCTTGTAATAATGGAATATTTTGTAAAGCAGATAAATCAACGTAAACCGGTCTACGCACGGTTTTCATAGTTTTCACATTATTTAAATGTTCAGCGGCGATTATTAAATTTTGTTCGTATAAAGATGGGGGCATATCGCGAATTGCTACTCGAGAATAAAGATTCTTTAATACTAAACCGCAAAGATGACGTTCGACTTGATTATCAGATCTAGTTCGTCTGCTAAGATCTTTAAAATATGTTTCCGGGTCTTTTATTATATCCAAGAAATTATCAACATTAAATTCGGTTGTGTATTGCCGGACTTGGGCGTTTAATTGTTGACGCCTATAAAAAAGTTATAGGAAATTAATAATATTAATAATCAAATACTTTTAATAAAGCTTTTTTTCTACCTTAAATATTCCTTCTTTGTTGGATAATTACGCTTCTCCAAATGACTCGAAATAAACTCACTTAGCCCATCAGGTTCGGAAAGATAAATTAACGCTTGTGATTCAAGATAGGTTGGATCAGCATCAGGGAATATATCCTTCAATAATTGAGTTTGCGTTTCAAGATCCATTTCCGCAACAGGTGATGGAGATTTTCGTGATCTTTTTGGGTAATTTGGATCATTAAAAATAATTTCCAAAATTTGACCGATGTGTTGTTCATTTTTTGATTTTCCAATACACAAATCCTTAATGTATGTGGGACATGCGTCCGGAAACATCTCCATGATGTGAGAACTTAATTTTGAGCAATAAGAAGATTTTGACTTATTACCTCTTTTACAAGTCTTTGCTGGTAAAGCTACCGCACCAATTTCTTCATCATCGTTATCAAGATCCGACAACAAATCTTCATTTATTTCAGCATAATCACTTAAATCGATCGGTTCATTATCTGGTTGAAATCGAGCCGGTTTTAAAATAGCCTTGTGTTTCCGTTGGGTGCTTCAAAAAAAATTATAAATTTAATTGTTACCACATTAATTTAACTCACCATTTACAGCGCTTTCTACATAATTTTCTACATTTTTCATTAGTTTCTCTTATATAATCTATTTCTTCATCACTATCAGAGTTAACATCGGAAATAATAGCATCATAATTTCTTTCGTTAGGAAATATTCGATCTAATTTCTGTTTTTTGTTTTCATTACGCCTCGTTTCTCTATGACGAACAAAACTAAATAAGAAACCAAATTATTGTGATAATGTATTAATTTGAAATACGCTCTTTATTACTTACTCGAGAGGTTTATGTTTAGTACCGGTTGATTTAGAGTAGGGCATTGTTTCTAAAACAATAAAAAAATTAATTTATAACGTTGAAATATAATTGTTATTTTATAACGTAAATTGTAGGAATGGGAGGAATAAACTAAAATATGAGAAACATGATCGCAAATGCGATAAGGATCAACTTTTTTGTAAAACCGGATTTTTCCTCTTAAATACAAAAATAAAGTACAGGGTATATCAAAAGTAAAGTTAAAACTTGAATGGAAAAGCATTGTTAAATTCGTTTTTGATTAAAACTCTTGATTACTATATACATATGGTCTAAGTTTTTTTTATTATATTCTTACCAGTAGAAGAGGAAGCAATATATTCTCTATTTTCTTGTGGCTTGGGATGATAAAAAACTGGTTGTCTAAGTATACCTAATCCATCTGTTTGTCCTATATAATAAAAATCACAATTAAAACTATTAATATTTGACAAAATAGGGTAAAATAAATAATTCATACAAGTCAATTTTGACAACTAAGGCCCACTTTTACCACACTCATGAAAAATTGTCTAAAGGATAGTTGCCATGGTTACAGCGCTGTTAAGCGCTCTCATTGGCTAAGAGCTGTATTTATCTATGAGATAAGTCAATATCAAGAGTTGGTTAAATTGGGCTAGTCTCTAAAACTAACAACATTCAAGGTGGATTAATAGAAAACATAGATTATAAAAAAATCTTTTATCTGTACCTTTATTAGCTTGAAAATTTGTTTCAACATCCATTTGGTTATTTATAAATTCTTCATTTCCATCACTAAAACGTTCCAGGAAATCTGTAACTTCATTACATGAAGATGAACATTTAAAATCATCGGACTGTGGTTGAACCAATGACTCCATAGGTTTACAAGTTACTTTTCCGATTTGTTCCGTCCTATTAAAAGGAAAATCAACAAAACGATTGGGTGACATTGATTGATTAACATTTGTTGATGTTTCAGGTCTAACAATAGTCGCTGAAGGTGTACTTTTTGTAGAAAAATCATAAAAATTACTTCTATATGTACTACATGATGGTTGCATTACAGAACTTGTAACGCTATTACCATCATTAAAATTATTTATATTTGGATTGACTCCATAAGATGACCACATTGCAGGAGGAGAAGAATTAAATAAATAATCTAAACCATTTTCTTGAATATCATTATCTCGAACACCATTATCTTGGATACCACTATCGGGAATATTGGAAGTGGATGGATTTTTCTGAACCAAATGATTTTCCAAGTGCATTTTAGTATACATTGATAAAACACTTAGAATAGTTTGCATTTTATTATGACCATTTCCATTAATCATTTTATATATTTTATTAATATTTGTACTTGTACATTGAGGAAAAATCCTACATAAAGCTTCCACTTCATTTAATTCGTAGTCTTCAAACATTATCTCTTCATTTCCTCTTCCAAAACAATGATCGTTTACAAGCTTTTGAGCAATTTCGAGTTCTTCACCAACGAGGGAGTTGGATTGAAAAAACTTTAAATAATCATCTTGATTTTTAATAACACCCAAGTTAATCAAATCTTGGGCGTATTGAAATAAATCCTAATCGCAAAAAAAGGATGATATCATATAAATAAAGTACATAACACGATGACTAACCTTAGATTTATCAAAATCTTCCATAACTACGATTATTGTTATATTACTTTTATATAACAGATTTAATAGCACTTTCCTTGATTAATTAAACATGAAGAACAAGTTCAAACACATTCACGAAATAATTGAGGAGATAAAACCTTGTGCGATTGTGGTTGAGGCAGTACTTGTCATTTAAATGTTTATTTTAAAGCGACATCTACATTTCAACCTTTACTTATTTTTTAAATAACTTTAAATTATTAAATAAAAACTAAGTTCATCTTGGGATTGAATCGCTTTTTATTAATCTTTGAATATTATAAGTTATACTTTTAGAAATAATGTTTTCATTTCAAATTTTGGTTTGATGAAATAAGTAGTGCCAACTTAAAAAATTAAGAGTTATAATTTATATTATTTAAGAATGTTTATTAAAATGAAATAAATTGTATTTTTATTTTTTTTAAGTGTATAATATATTGTTTTATTTTTTTTAATTTTCTTTTTAATTTGATTAAATGGACAATAAGGGGTACCACACCAATTAAATTAACATTTAAAAAAATGAAATTTTGTACATATATATACTTAAATAAAAAGAAACTTTTTAACAAATTTATTATTTAAACAAACTTAACGATAGCAAAGAGAAATCGTAAAAAGACACAAAATTAGTGTGTAAGTAGACGGCAAAAAGAAAAAGTGTCCAAGAACCGTAACGTTTTCAATAATGGTAAATTAAATGCATGTTTAATATCTTGTAATGTTATGTTCTTTCGTTGCGCGTTCTCTTAAACTTGTTATTCTAACAAATCTAACTGTAAATAATCGCAAATACTAACATATTTTATTAAAAAAAACTTTATTTTTTTAAATTTTTAATCTTTTAGGTTATAATAAACCACGATAATAAACATGTAATTTGACATTTTATGTCATTTAAATGTCAAATTGACGTTTAAAGTAATAGAAGTTGTATAATTTTAAGTTTACATTTTTAAATACGAATGAGTCTTGGCGGGGATAAAATGTGCATGCGCAGATAACGTGTGGCAAGAATCGCAGTTATAGTACAGCTGGTGCAGGATTATGTAGGTAAATGTCAAACGCTTTAAACAATTTTTTTAACTTTCAACAGCGGCGTGTTACAATAGTGCGAAATATGTGCAGTGCATTAAGAAATAACTGTTAGCGTAAGCGGTAAGTATAAAACGATTAGCATACGGCCGACTTCCGCGTACGTTTAATTTAGGAAACTCTAAGAGAAGCGTGTTTCGTTATTTTTAGTTTTCGGGGTTCGTTGTCGTGAAATATCAAACGTTTGAGTCATGGAAGAGCTTGAAAAACAATCGGACGTGGATACAACTCCAGTTCCGGATTCGCCAAAACCTCTCGCATTTACCATTGACTTTGGAGAAGGAAAAGTGGATAAGCAACGGCATAAATTGTTGATGGAAAAGTATCAGAAACGACAATTAAGCGTTACGGAAAAGAAGGAGAAGCAGAAAAGTAAAGGAAGTACAACCGGTAAAACAAGGGATGATTTAAGTTTACCTCTGAAGAACGTCACCACAGATCGAATGACTCAATCGTGTAAGTTTCCCAGCGTTTCTAGTCCTGAAATAGAGCTGAGGGATTCAGAAATAGTAGTTTCGACGAAATTAGTACGCTACGCCAATTTAGAATGTGATAATAAAAGTTTAGAAAAAGATTTATTTGTTGATGGTACTGATTTTGATTTTGAAGCTGATTTTGATAAATCCGATAACATAAGCGATGCCGGAACGTATACGTTGGACGCGGACAATTACTCGGAGGAACAAAAAGAAAGAATGAGCATCGATAGAGAATTTCAAATCGAACAAGTTTCACTTTTACGCAAAACAGAAGATTATATTAAAAGTTTAGATATTGGAAAACCAGTTGAACCTGAACTGACACTCCCGAAGCCCCAAACCTTAGATTTAAGTAATAGTCAAAAATCGAATCGACTAACTGAGCAAAAACAAAGGTTATTATCACCGATTCTATCCCCGACACAAAATTTATCAATAACACAAAATAACAAACAAGAAGTTAAAGTAAACAATGAAGATCAAAGTAAAACTTTTACTAAAATTATGTTTCCAAGTCCGAAAGCAAAAACCGGAATCGGATCTGAACAACCGCCGGATCATGGTAGCGTTATATCGGTAACTTCAAGTGGTGCTTTTCGTTCAAGAAACGAGAAGAAACGACATGTTAGACATTTAAGTTTAAGTAAATCCGGGGTCCAAGTTGAAGCGTACACAGAAAACGGTTTTCAAAATGAAATTATAATGGCTCCAATCCCAAACAGTTCAACATTAACGGCCAGTGTTGTTCATGTAACGGATAATTTTCCCAAACCACCCGAGGTGCGAAGGAGTTCGTTCGAACTTGGAATAGTCGGAAATAAATTAACTAATATACCATTTGTTTTGGGATGTGGCGGTAAAATTTCCCCGACGAAAATTCCCTCTCCGATACATACCTCAAGGCCAAGAAGTCGAAACAGCACCGGATCTACGAACATAGATCTTTCCGATAGTAGTTTAGAAACCGAATCTTATTTAAAACCGACGCAAAACATAATAAATTCACTTCAACAAAGGTTATCATTGGATAACGATCAAGATTTGGACGCAACGTATCTTAATAATGATGCAAGAAATTTGCTAAAGAAACCAACTCACTTAAGACATAACTCGTTTGATGATAAAAACTTAAAATTATCTAATAAACTGGAGCATTTCCAAACGAAAAACTTTCAGGGTATTGATCAAACTTACACCAACGTACTCAATCAATATAAAGTAAACAAAATTCAAAATTCACCAAATAACAGTCCGATACGTCGTTCAAGCAGTTTTTCCACTAATAAAAATCAAATCAATTTGAAAAACTTTTCCAAAGAAACTAATTTAATTAATTCCCCGAACATCAATCGAAACACATCCTCAATTCAAAGGTCTTCATCAACCGCCAACATCAAACCAAATTTATTAACACGACGACCCAGCACGGGATCCGATCATCATCAAAAAATCGACCGAACCATTTACGGCGATACCGAATCGAGTTCTGAAGAAGATTACGATAAGAATATTAAGAAGAAAGATATCACCAATACCCGTTATAATCGGGCGTTTAGTTTACGTCGGGCTCGATTGGAAGAACCGCCGCCGCCAAAATGTCCGAATACGCCAGAAATGCGCAGGAAATTTCCTGCATCCGAATCCAGCCAACGTGCAATTTCCGTCGACCGAAAACCGACCACAAAAACGAACGACGTGCCAAGCCGATACCTGCAGAGTGTTTCTAAGAAAAATTCGATGCCTCCGCCTCCGTCCGTTAAACCGGAAACCCCAAAAAGTGCCAACAGGGCGGGTAGTGCCGGAAAAGTACCACAACAAACGGGAAAATCACAAGTGTTTTCGCGTACCGATAGTGGACGTTACAGTATGAGGAGTAATAGTAAACCACCTGCCGGAAGTAACACGCCTAAGAATTTAAGGAAAGATTCTGCAGGTGAGTTCAAATTATATTTGGAAGCAAAAAACTTTTTAAGAGTTTCCTTGTTAAGATTTCTTTGTTTGTTTTGCGCAATTAAATGCTCTGCTGATTTTCTGTTATTGTTGAGTTTCTACAGTTTGTGTTTTGAATATGGATTATTCTTTTTTATAATGTTTCAATCTCACTTTAGTAATATATTTATTTTTTTTTGATAAATCCAAGTAGTAACCTAAAATCGAAAAATACAAAAATGATTAAACGAAATTTATATTATAATCAACAAATAATTTCCTTTACGTTATAATTGTGTAAGTCAAAATAATTACTTGCAATTAGTAATTAAATCGAATTTTATCTTTAAATTTAATATTAACTATGATTCATGATAGCAATTGATTAAACGGAAATTGATTGATTTATTGGGGCGACGTTGTAAAAGATCGTTACGATGCGTTACATCGATTTAATGAAATGATTACATCGTTGATTTCTAATTAAAATGGACATTTAATTTTCAACTTTAAAACGAATTCAATAATTCAAAATTCGTAACGAAGCGTTACTTCAAATTAAACTATTTCGAAACACTTTCAACAAGCTAAAAAGAACTTTCTTTCTTAACTAATCTAATTTCTATTATTAATTAATAGATAGTTTTTTTTAATTAATTCTTGACACGCGTGTAATCCGTAAAACGATACCGACTTGATATAACAATTCGATTGTCTTTTAACATCCATTTTAATCGTCATTGGATCATCCTTTCAGCCTACATTCAAGCTAAAGTTATGCGGTCACGTGGGCGCCAGAAGAAGAATCAAACTGAGCCGCCGCTTAATAATTATTTAGGTGGAAGAACGGTGAACTCAAAGTGTTGAGTGGCAAATTATAGACGAAACGCGTTCCAAATGTCGCTACAACGTTGCATGGGGGCACCACGACGTTAACATCAACTTCTGTTAATCGTCAAAGTTTTGTAGCAGCGTCGCGATGCTTCGTTAACTTTTTAACGGAAACTAAACTCTACCGAGTACTGTTATGTCATTAGAAGTGAGAAAAGATAAGATTGAAATAGACGTACTTATCTATAGTAGGGTTGGCATTTTTGTTTAAGTTTAAATTTATTTTCTCACAAAAAAGAACTTTCCTGTGGGAATTTACCTGTTGTTGTCGTTTAAGCGTTACGAAACTTTTCGATTCTATATCCGCGTTGATCCGGTAGTCTTTTAATAATTCATGAAGATATTTAAGTAATTTGATTGGGTGCGAGGTACTTCAAATATTCATGAACGAGATTAATGTTTACAAAAATCTTTAAAATTTATTCACTTCACAAAAAGAATGTGGGCATTGTTAAAATTACACGTTTTTTAAATTACCAAACAACCTCATTCATAAATCACTTTTTATCAACGACATTCTTTAAGTCAGTTTCACCAAACGGGTTCGACCCCGTTATTAACCCATTAGCATCATAGGTAAGTTTAGATATGAGCGGATTTTTTAGCTAGTTACATCTAGAATTAGGCTTTGTAACTAGGTTTTGGGTTAAGCCGTCTTAAGAGAGGTACGACTAAATCCAAACGTTTCTAGTTCTAGGCTTAGTGTTAGTCTTACGATTAGTGGTAGAGCTAGTATTAGTACTAATAGCTATAATTAATAATAGATCTATAAACTGGACCTGGTCAGCGCAGCTTCGTTTTGGCCTGAAACCTATCTGTTCGACCAGTATTAAACATTAAACACTTTCTGACAGATTCTGTTGTAGATGAGCCTTTCAAGTGATTTGTATGTTAATAATAATTATGCGAAAGGCCTGTAGCTCTTACGTGAGTTGGTTGCTTTCCCTGATTTTAGGATGGCTATTAGCTTTGTTTGTTTGTATTCTCTGGGTAGGTTATTAATCTGGATTATATCACTGAAGAATCTGGCCAACCAAAGTATATTTATTAGGAATTCTAGGTTTAATAATTCGGTGGTTCACGTAGTCGTATTCTTTTCTGTCTATAACCGCGTTGTCATTCCCTTGGTAGAACGATGATGTCTATTTTCTCTCGGGTCGTTCGCGAATGTATCATAATTATAATTTATTCACGTGTATGTAATAAAAAAAGTTTGGCGATATTTGCCACTTGCTCATTTATTCTGTGTGATGTAAATGGGGTTACTAATTCAAATCATATTTATTTCCACATAGAAACAAAACACTTTACTATCAACGTTTTAAAAAGGATTTTAAAATAAATTAATGATACTTAAAAAACACTCTAATTTTAATGTGTATTTGTGTACGTAGCTTTAACGAACAAAGAGACAACAAAACGAAAGTTTATTAAAGAAAATCATGAGTCGTGAGTTGAGTCATAGGTACTTACAATAAACTACACAAATATTGTTGCGTAAACATTCGGTCTTGAAATATTTTTAAAGTAGTAGTAAATATTCGCGACACGGAGAAATTTTAGAAAGCGTGTTTTATTAGATTATTTTAGATTAATCACAAAACTTACTTTTCAATAATAAATACAATAAAACAGTAAAAGGTTTAATATTTTAATAAATCATCGACGTCCATTAATTTAAATGCAATCAACAAATTATTTATTACTTCACAAAACTTACTTTGCGCGAAATCATCGTTATCGATTTTATTTAAAGAGAAAGTAAATTTTTTTAACGTCCATTTTAATTAAAATATATAATATTTCCCACATGCAATGCAAAACAGAAGTGATACTTCACTTGGTAGGTTTCCAACACCTGTACAAAATATACGATTTCAAGCTGTCGTTTGCAATAAAAATAAAAACCTTAAAAACCACTTCCTGTTAACTACCAAACGTCGATGGCTATTGTATTCTTTTATTAACAGGTAATTTCGTTTCGCAAGAAGTACACAATCGACGTTCAACTGTGATGGATAATTAAAGAAAGCTTGGTTGTATTGATAAAATCCTTTAAGCGATGTCGTGAAACTCTCTGTAGAATGCATCAAGTGAAAAATAAAAATGGTTTTGTGCCGTTTATGAGTTTACCGTATGTTTTAAGCTTTCAAGAGTCTAAGATTCTAAAAGATTTCATTAATTTAGGAGCTAATTACTCAAAGATGTGTCTTTTTCGAGTTTCCATGTTTTAAAATAAATAAAAATATCAAGAAATTTTCTCGTAATTAATAGTTTCATTTTGTTTTAATAAAGGCAATTAAAGATTTGATGAGAAAATTTTGTTTTGTATATGTTACAGTTAAAGCATTCATTCCGTGAATGTACACATTGTCTAGTCAATGCATAGATTAACTAATTTATCTAGTTAATGTGTATATGAAAATACGAAATTTAAACTTTTACTAGTTGATGTATACAATTACTAATGACGCTCAGTTAAAGCTTAAAGTACGTTTACTAGTATATTACATAACGAAATCCAACCCATAAAATGGTTACTACTATACTTACTTACTTACTATTTGCATCACATGCAATCCCTTCCATTAAAAAAATTATACCGTAAATTTTCTTTGTCATAACTTTTACTAACATCTGTTAGCAAATGCATACACTGCCTAGTTTATGTACACATTCAATAGTAAATGAACTGAAATGCACACTTTACCTGTGACATATGTATATGTACATTTTATTAAAAACGTTTGAATTTAAGATTAATTTTCTTACATTTGAGGTTATGTCATTATTGTGAATTGAGGATAACTTTTGACAAATAAGTTTTATTAATTATTATATTATAAGCAACAAATAATTTATGTTTTAATCCTAGTAGTAAAAACATTTTTTACTTAGAAATTATTATTAAAAATCTGATAAGTCAAATTTGAAGGCTAATTGTCAAAATTAAATTTTCAAAAAATCACTTTATTTCGATTTAAATTAAATTCACAATCAATTCGATATTATTATTTTGAATTTTAATATTATTATCTTTAATGGATAGCCAAATTATGTATAAAATTTTTGTCGCTATTTATGACGTTTACTTAATTGTCAATTTTTTTTAAATTAAAATATATTTCTTTCTTTAAGGTAAATCAAAATCTGGAGGACGAAGCAACTCATCACTATCCAGCCGAGAAGTTGAATTTCAGAACTGGAAGCGAAGGAAAAGTTATGATCCGATGAAGGCCGCCGCGGAGGGAAAAAGAAAAGCGGAACTAGCGAAAAAGCAGTCGAACATGACCGCTTCGTACACAGAAGGAAATCAGGATTACGATAGTTCGCCTTCACATTCCAGCTCTGTACATCGTTCTCAGGTAATTTAAATTTGATTTATATAAAAGGAAATAACGGAAGTGTTAACCATTTTTCCGTTTATCCCTTTTTAGTGAAGATTTCTTTTTGTTTAACCTCGTTTCTTTTTCATGTTATTTTCTTGTTGTTTTTCTTTTTGTTTATAGTTCAGAAACTAATTGAAACATTATTAGTGCTCTTCAACATCCAGTTGAATTGATTTCTAAGTACATACATATATATAAAAAAATATGATACTGATCAAGATAATTTTTTATTGTAAATATGTAAGTAATTAATAAGATTGAAGTGTTTCGTCCTTTTTTTCTGGGTCAAATTTGAAAATTTACTAACCAATAATAAAATTGAAGTTTAAAATTAAAATGATTTTTTGATTTACTTGTTGTTGCATGATTATAAAACGATTGTTGCTTATTTGGTTGGCTTGCGATGATTCATAAAACGACAAAGAGAGTGAGAAATATCCTGTTTTCGTTTATAAATATCTCTTGTGTAACATCTTGTATTTTTTTTTAAACTTTTACAATTAAACCCTTGACCGATTTTAGAACATTTTTTTCTTTTTATCAAGAGACAATTAATGGCAATTATTATGATGCTATAAATATAAATGAAATTTCTATTTTTAGGTTGTCATCATAAAGATTATAAAATAAATCAATCAGGTACATACAAGTCATTAATTTTTTTCAGCACCTAAAGCTTTTCATTAAAAAAAATAATTTTTTTTTGTTATTTTTAGGGGATTTTCATCACGAAATATCTGCTAATAATAGCAATAAAAAATATAAATACGGTTTAGCCGTGCGTCTCTTAAGACAGCTAGATGCTCCGAATGTTTCTAGTTCTACGTCTAGTGTTGGTGCTAGTATTAGTTCAATAAAAATGTACAACAACCCAGCGCTGAATAACAACTATAACTAGAATTAACACTATTACTAGAACTAACACTAGAACTAGAAACATTCTCCTTACTTTCTGGTTACTTTCGAGTTCTAGGTCAAGTGTTACTTCTAGTTTTAGTTCAAAAAAAATTAACAGCAGTCTGGTGCTGAACACCTAGAACTAGAAACATTCAGGTTTAGATTGATTTAAAACATATTTACATTATCGAAAAAGATAATGAATCATTTTTTTATGATCACAGCTAAATGTGCTATACTAACACAAAATGTATGTTTTTATGTACGTTTTAATTTTATAAATAATTTTGTATTCTTTTTTTAGAGTTTTCATGGAACCGCAGCTTTGGAACAATTAATCAGTTCGGATGAAGAAGACCAAACGCTGTCTGCCGATGAAGGCTTCAGCCCTCCGACTCCGAGCCCATGCGAACTTAGTCCAGCCAGGGCTAGCTTAAAATACGCATGGCGCGAGCAGATATTGATGGAATAAAAACGAATTAATTTATTTACCATCTCCAACGAAAATTGTTGTATTCATTTTTACCTTAGTTATTATTTTTATTTTATTATTAAGTTAGAATCCGTATTGGTTATTTAATAAGTTTTGATTTATTTCCCCACATGACACCGTTTTATTTTAAATATTATTATTAAAAAATAATTTGCTGCACGAGTGAATAAAAATCAGAAACCTCGATTTAATTATTTATGGTTTATTTAATGTAGCCCATTTTATAAGTTTTCAAAATTTTTTTTTAGATTATAAGTATATGTTATTTTGTCCTTTTAATATTTCGTTTATGTCGTGAGTGCATATCATCGTGCTAATTATTATTACAAAGAAAATAAGTATTAAGATAAAATTAATCAAAAAAATTAATTTTTCTTTGTTTAATTTTATCTTCATTAATTTAATTTTAATTCAATATAATTTTCAAGTTTTAAGCACAAAATCATGTGATATCCTTTTAATTAAACAAAAAACTAATTTACTAATACATTTTTCTTTTTGGTGCAAATGTGGCCTAGAGCCCAAAAAATTATTACCAGAACTGTAAATCAGTGCAATAAATAATCAAAACGTTTATTTATTTCAATCATTTTGGCGTCTACAAGAAGATGTAGTTAATATTAGTAATTTTTCATAATACTTAATATTTAATGATAAATTGAAACGTGTCACCGAATCTTCCAAAAATCAAGGTAAAAGTAAGAAAAAATTACATCTTGTAAAAGATGAATGTTAGGACTTAAAAGTCCACTCGATGTTTTTTCAGTTTGAAACTGTTTTTTTCTTTGTGTAAACGTGTTGTTGCTTGTATACTTATTACTACAATTTATTATTATTATGAAATTGTGATTTTTACATGAGATTAATCAATTTCTTTTTTTTATGCAATATTTTTTATTCACTTTGTTACGCATTAAATAAAAATCGTGGCTTCAAAAATTAATTAGATTTTCTGAAATTTAAAAGAATAAATATGAAATTAAAAGTTATATTTCGACCGGCACAAATCTATTTGGTATTGAATTATCTGTTATTTATAAAACTGTTTATTAATTGTACAAACATGCTTTATAATAATAAATTATATACAAATCAAAATTTATTGGGTCTTATCTAATTATTTAATTGCTTATTTTATTATTAATAAAAAAAACTATTGAGTGCATGCAATTCACATTTGACACTTCCAACAAAAACCTTCGGTTTTTAGGTTAAGTTTGAAATTAAACTACTTTTAGCAGTTATACAACCCACACCCCACAGTTCTCAATTAAGTTGTCTTTAATAAGAACATGTTTGGTTTTTTAATTAATTTTTCAACTCCAGTATTTAAAACTACTAATAACGACTGTGTGGAGGTCATTTATTTCCAAGCATTAATTGTTATTGAGATGTTTTTAACGATTCCTTAACATATATTGACAAAGAAATTTTAAAACTGGTTTAAGCCACTTTTAATTTATTCATTTACCTATTGTGTGTTCGTTATTGTTTATTGTATTCTTTATCTTACTAAATAGGTAACTCGATACAACAAAGAGTAACTTATTAAAATGTAAATTAAAAAATTGTTTTTGATAAATCAGCAAGTATGTATATGTGTATTGTTTTATAACTACTTCAATTTAAAATTGATTAATTAATAATTTTCAAGGAATTCTCGAAACTATCTTATCAGTTTACTAATAAAATTCTTATCGAATAAAGAAACCGGTTCTTTCAAAACGTATATAAAAAAGCTTTACAAAATTCCAAGAACACTTCGTCATCGACCTCTGTTTCTCTTGCAAAGTTAACCAGCAGGTATTGAACGTTCATTCTTTCACCCACACCGTTACTTCTTTTCATTTTTTTATATTCATTTACAAAGAAACCTTCAACAAGACACCTTAACACTAAAAGTTTAAACAAAATAATACAAAACTCTTTACTTATTTTATACGACTTACAAGGAATATACATCATTTCGAAATAAATAAAAACCACATTCTTTATTAAAGTAGTCGTCACCGTTGGATCAGTGACGTTTTACCAATTCATTCGCTCTTTTAGAAGGAGGAGGATTGTTGGTCGAGAACCCGTAATGTTAACGCAGCTTCGCATTATACAACTAAATTGTGATACGTGACGGTTACTGGAAAAGTGAGTTATAAGTGATCAATTGAACTTGATATAATTTAAACAAGCTGGCCGGAAAAAAGAAACAGAAACAGAGAGAAAAGAGGGGATTAAAATTTTTGTGGATTCCCGGTGGAAAGAAAAAACATCATAACAAACAGAAACAAGATAATTTTAATTCACCGTATTTTAATCAATCTTCACGGTGAGTTTCAATTGCGAGTTGTAAAAGGTGATGGGTGTACATTCGGTTGCATATACATATAATAAAGTACTAACGTCGTATACAAATTCAAACTTAATCTAAACTTTTAATTGTTAACTTCAATTTATTTAGATTAAAGTTTTAATTTATTTTAATATTTAAAATTATCAAATTATTTGAATTATTTTTTTTGTTAGATTTTATCAATAAAATGTTTTTGACGTTTCAATATCAAAATAACCTTCAAAACCAACTTTTAGGTTAGAAATCCAATATAAAATGTCAATTTAAACTAAAAAAAAAAATTTAATTTTAATAATTTGAATTAATTTTTTTTATCTTATTTAAGTTAGTTAATTAATTCTAAATTTAATTTTAATAATTTGAATTAATTTAGTTTATCTTATTAATTTAATGAAGAATTAGAATTTTACCTTAAAATGTTATTGGAATATTTTCATGTCAAGGTCATTTCATATTCCACTACATATTCTATTCAACTCATGGAGTGTTGGAAGGTCACATTATAGAGTATCTCCACAAAACGTTTCAAATTCGTACAAACTTAGTTTTATTGTCATATTAAAAGTTTTATAGCTTGCTATTTCAGACATTATCGATTCTATTTTTCATGGAAAACTGATGAATCGATGATTTATTTTCTTCAAGATTCGCGTTGAGGCGTGTGTGGTGTTTTAAAATAAGGTGATGACAAATTCAATGTTAATACATACTCTTGGTGCTAATAAACATTCCATGACTATACAACAAACAGTAAACTAAGGTGTTTCTACTTAAAATTAGTACGTGTGAGAATCAATGTATGTGCTGAATATTTTTAGTGAGTTTAAAAACAAATTTATAAGATGACTATGGTACATTTCGTAGGTACTGTGTATCAATTAGTGTAAGTAGGTACATTAACTAATTAATTATTAAATCGTTAATATAAGAATACATTTATATGAAACATTTTAAGTTGGCAACAAATTTATTTTTTGACAATTTAAAACGTCAACTCCAAAATAAATTTTTTTTCTAAATTTTCAAAAACAATTTTTATGATTTAAATTAATAATTCTGAATAAAGAAAATGAAATTTATTATTAATTGATTTTTATGTATTATTATAATTGATTTATATTTAAAGTTATTGTCAATATTTGAAAAGTTGTCAAATTAGAGTTTTTGGTGATTTTGAACGCAGGATTTTACAAATATAACTATTTGAAGAGTTTAAGACTACATTTAACAATAGCAAATTATTGTTAACGTGCAAAAATGACAGTAACTCTCTTGAAATTGGATAAGTTCGAGCTGCAAGTACAAAATTTTCGTCAAAACCATCCAAGGAAAATGTTGCCGTTTTTTAATCCGGAAAATTATCATATCTTTGGAGATATCGTTGGGTAAATAACCAAATACGTACTTAAAAACGAATTAAAATTGAAAAAGCACCCACTAACATAGAAAGTTTTACTCACAACGCATTGTTTTGTGTTTATTCATAAAGGAAACTCGAAGGTAAGATATAAGGCACGGTTTCGATTGCTTTTTTAAGTGTTTCCTGCAACAGGTGACTTGTAATTTGTTTTTTAAATACCTGTAGTGACTCTATTGTTTGTTAAAAGCTTTTGTTTCAATACAAAACATTCTATTGTTACGACAAGTTCAATAAAGCATTCCTAATTTTAGTTAAAGAAATAATATTGTTAACGAAACAAGCCAGTTTTATTGATTCTATTTACCTCTTTATAAACTAAATCCCATTTACAAGCCTTATTGTAATTCTGCATATCTTTAAAGCATCTACATTCTAATGAACAAGTCCGTTTTAAAAATCATTCTAGGTTTTTGAGATATGAAGTGCTGAACTTAAGTGACAATATTTACTGTTTTTTTAGATAAATTCAAAAATTTCTCGAAAATCGATTTTATGGAAAATTGTTATTAAAATTTCGCCAATTGTTAAACAAGGCATATACTTTCTAACGAATAAGTTCGTTTCGACAAATCACAGTTGGTTTTTGAGATATAAATTGTTAAAGTTTATTGCCAACTTCTATCGGTTTTTAAATTTGTTTTTGAAAATTGTTATCAAATTTTCATCAATTATTAAACAAAGCATCTACATTGTAATAAACAGGTTCGTTTTGGAATATCGTTCTTGGTTCTTGAGACATAATGTACTGAAGTTAATTTGCTAACTTTTACCATCAACATATTACATTTAAAAATTCCTGAAAAAATGATTTGTTGGAAAATTGTTATCAAATTGTGTCACCAGTACTAAATAAAGCATCTACTTTCTAACGAAGAGGACCGTTGTGAAACATCACTCTTTGTTCTTGAAATATAAATTATTAAAATATAATGCACTGCGAGAAAGTTGAATATGAACCTATCCAGCTAATTATATTTTAAAAAATATTGTGCACACTTTTATGAACATAAAATCAAACATTAAGATATTAGTTTAGACATTTGTATTAGATTGTAACATTTTAGATACACTCCACCTCCCCAAACTTTTTTCACCCCACCCAAACTGTGCAGTATGCACACAAAAACTAATAATAAGAAATTGAGAAGGGAGCGTAATGTTTTCACCCTTACCGTGAGGAATAATACTAGTGACACGGCACATCTGCTCTCTCTTAATACAAAAACACCCTTCCTTGCCAAAATCCCGCGTCACACGTATTACACATTTTTAGTTTCCTAGAAATCGATTTCCAACGAAATAACTCCGATTAATCAGAAAAAAGAATTGGTAACGCGATAGTATTCGAATGAAATGATATGGAATAATTTTGAAATTGATACTCGTGGTGGGTTTAGTGACTGCATCTATTTAAAAACGGAAGTAGGAAAGTTCCTCGATTAATACTAGGTAAATTAATTTACATATTAATTTTTTATTATTATTATTTTATTAGTAGTCTCGATTGGTTATATCATGTAAATTAAGTACGCACGGTTTCAATTAATATGTGCGTACGGTCAGATCGCGATGAATTTGACGATGGTGATATGGTTTCATTATATTGCAGTCTGTTATGTGCTCTCGTTGTTGATGTAAGTCATTTCAAAGAAGGAATTCTTTAAGAACTAATTACGCTCAATGTGAAGTTTGGGTGATTTTAGTTTATCAAGATTAATTGGTGATAATGTTAGAGTTAATATGGTAGTTTTATAATCAAATTTATTTCTTGTGTTGGTTATTGGCGCTTTTCTGTTTGCACTTGAAATTTTTAAAGGTATTTACCTTTAAATTTAAGCGATGATTTTAAATACACTTTAATAAAAGTATATTTTGAAATTTGAAGAGGTCAGTGGATTGCGCAACTCGGTAACCTTCGTGTTATGACTTTAGATTGAGCGCAAATTGTCCATTGACGTACTTAAAATTAAATTGATTATATTTATTAATTTGTTTAAACTTAATTCATCTAAAAATACTTTTATTTTTATAACTTGATAACATATTCCCCTTCCAAAAACATAACTGGTTCTTTCTAATTTTTTATACTTTCTTTCTCATTTTTATTTTCATTTCCATCATAAACATGGATTTCGAATATTTACGTAAACAACTACAATTACACTTACAAGGGTTATTGCACAGCAAACAATAAACTATTCCTATTAACATAATTAATAAATTAATTTCTTTTCTAGGTCCATGATGACGGGTGACGATTCTCCAACGGCAAATCGAAAGGAAGAATTTCATTTCGGGCGATCAACTCCGCCTCCGACAACAAGTTATTTTCCGAAACACGAGCACGCCGATATTAAAACAGTTGCAGAACCGAATAAAGAGGAAAAAGATAAGGAAAAAGATAAAGAAGAAAAAGATGATGTGGATATTTCAAGGCCGGATGCAAATCCCGAATATAAACCGGACGAAAAACGCGAGAATAATGAAAGAAAAGATGGTGGTGGTGGTGATAAAGGTGGTGATCGAGGTGATAAAAGAAAGGATAAAAAAGATGTAGGAAAAGGTAAAGGAAGCGGTGATAATGATGAAAAAGAAGAGGAAAGTTCCGATAAAAAATGTAATGGTGATCGTTTAGATGGACGATGGATACCATCAGATGCAAAAGCACCCCCAAGTGATGATGAAGATGACAGTAATTGCACTGTAAAATGTCTTTATTATACCATGCAATGTTGTGAGTGTACAATTTCATGATGTACATATTATGTGATATGTAAGTTGAAGAATTCATAATATCTCGATGTAAAATCATAGTTATCATTTGATCTGATTAGGGTATATTCTCGTGATTAGATGAATAGATGGTAGGCACTACAGTGAATCTGATTTTTCCTGCTAATTTATTATAGAAAAAGAAGCGTTGAACCATTTTTATATTAAAAATTTAAGGTAAATAATAATCAAAACATAAGGAGAAACAATCAATAGTATTTACTGTGTTATTGTAAATGTATAGAATTTACTCAGCTTTTCGTTTTTGTATAATAACAAATCATTGAAAGTATGTAAAATGGAATACGTCGGTGATTATATTTATAGTTTTTACAGTATTCAGATGCAAAAAGATCAAAATGTCTTTTTCTTTATTTTTTAATAAATATTTTAAAATAAGTTTTCTTTTATTTATAAAGACGAATATTGAATTAATAAGATTAAAAAAAGTTTTGAGACAAATTTTAATAATAAAATGAACGGGGAACGATACAAGCACATATTATTACAATATACATATTTTGTGATACAAGTAAAAACAAAATGTTAGAACCAACGATCTAGCTGCGTCTTCTCTCAGCGTTATGCTTTTATACATGTTTGTTTGTCCCAGACATACATATGTAGTAACCCACCACCCCTACTACCATTTTTCCGAAACTAATCCATACCATTTTTATACAACACATACAACCAAAAATAAATGATGTCATTGTCATTAAATGCAGGAGTTGTGTCCTTAAAAGTCCAAAATCCCTTTGTAGGATAATTAACATCTGTATAAATTGTTTCAAATTGTTGTTTTGTAATAGCCTTGTTTATAAATACATGTATACAAATTCGTTCTTTATTATTTCGTCGTTGAGAATTCTTTGGTTAAAATGCAAATACGAAAATTAAGAAATATTAATTACAATCAATTAAATAAATAAAAACGAAGTATGTATTTCTGATTTTGTTATACGAGTGTTTCTAAATTGATGTGAAAGATTTCAAGGGATGATTTTTCAGCGAAAATTGCGCGGTATCTTTCATATAACTTCTTGTTCGAAACCCCTTCTCCTCCAAGTTATAGCCCTCTAAAATTAAGGGGAAAATCTGCAACTTTCTTTTCTCTTGACATTTTACAACTAACAAATTGTTAATTTGATCACAAAAAATAAAATAATGCTGAGATCAATTTGACATAACTTCATTTCTTTGACTAATAATAACTAATCTCTGAATTAATTCACTTGAGCCTGTGTATTTTATTTCACATATTTCTTCTCGCGTAATTTTTTATGACTGCTGTATCCCAACGCAGTGTAGGTAGTTAGACTTTTACATTGCCATAAATTTCACCCGTACGCTGTTTGCATCAAGAGCTTCAAGAGAATGATATTCAAAAGCCAATTTCATCTTGTCACTGGATGCAAGTATGCTTTATTGGTTACTAGAAAATTCTTATTGGATACGTGAAATGTAACGTTGGGCAGTTAATATATTGTGTGGGACTATAGGTAATTTTTCAATTGGCTCTTTCTTTGAAAAAACATGCTTATCAAATAACATGTACCCCTTGAAAAATATTGATAGCGCGGCGCTTCTAAAATGCAATAAAAATCGTTCAGAATACTTTCTCTCTGTTACGGTGAAAGTTTTATCTGAAACTTTTGAATAAAATTGATGTTTTATAAGTTATTAGGTAGGCTCAATTTCAATGCCTTACTCGGTATATTAAATATATTTTTTTAAAGAAGCTTCTTAAAAAGATTCAACGCAGTTGGTTTCCTCTGATAAAATCTTTTCATACACCTACTCAAAAAAAAATGTGGTGTCTACAAATCGGTACCTACCGACGAAAGTAACCAACAATTCGATACTGCCCTCGAAAAACACATTATCAATTTTTTTCTATATTAAAATACTAAAATATATGCAACTTATTTTACGTCTTTCCTAGTAATAAAGAGTGGTTCAACTAAAACGCACGAAGTTAATTGTAAATAAAACAAAAAGTTTTCAGAGAATTATCTTAATATTTTTTATTATGATAGAAGGATCTATGACAATTATGAGTGTAACAAAATATCGTTCAAATGTTCGCTACGGCTTCGGTGGCATACTTCTATCCGATGGTCGATATTTTCAAGGTCTCCGAGTGACTCTGTTGTCACTGACTTTAGCTCTTGAATTGTTCTTGGCTTGAAATGGTCAGTAGGCTTCAGCTCTTGACTCAATTGAACCTTGTAAGCGTGTAAATTCAAATCTTTATTTAAAATTCGCATTAGTGATGTTCGTGAGATGTTCAATTGTTGGACACGACGACGAGTCGAAGTTGACAGATCTTCTGCCACACTATCAAATTAAGGGCGCTGAATTCGAATCTACATTTGGTTTCTTTTTTGGTTTC